TTCATTGTCTATACTCATTCCCACCCCATCACTCTTGAATCCATTCCAATTTGTTTCTTCAACCAAAACTGGTCTTGTAAGACTTCAGTGGCCCCTACAACAGCCAATTCTTTTTTTTTTTTGAGACGGAGTTTCACTCTTGTTGCCCAGGCTGGAGTGCAGTGGCACGATCTTGGCTCACTGCAACCTCTGCCTCCCAGATTCGAGTGATTCTCTTGCCTCAGCCTCTTGACTAGCTGGGACTACAGGCATGTGCCATTATGCCCAGCTAATGTTTGTTTTTAGTAGAGACAGGGTTTCACCATGTTGGCCAGGCTGATCTGGAACTTCTGACCTCAGGTGATCCACCCGCCTCAGCCTCCCAACGTGCTGAGATTACAGGCGTGAGCCACCATGCCCAGCCCACAGCAGCCAATTCTAGGCACTAATCCTTAGTTCCCTATGATGTAGCCTATAGTGACCTATCTGTGTGGGCTTGCCCCTGCTTTTCTAAGCCCCTCCTTCCCCTGTGTCCTCCTCCTCCACAGCCTCTCCTCCTCGGCCTCCTCGCCTGCCCAGGACATCTCTGCCCTGTTCCCTCCCCTCAACCCCCTTTCCTGGTCCTCCCACCTCCCACCATGTATTGGCATGCCCAAGTCTCAGTCCCTGCCTCCATGCCTCTCTCTGCATTCACCTACTCTGTGATCTGTCCCTGTCTGGCACTGTAGACACAGTGCTAGTGCTACCAGGTCCAGACTCACACGTCCAACCTGGGCCTGGCTGGCTGGAGCCAGAATCCCAGCCTCCTTTGGGTGATGACCTGTTGATCACTTTACTTGAATTCTAAGAGACATCTCAAGCGTCACATCCCACACCCACATTTCTGATCTTCTCCCCAAAATCCTCTCCTCCTATTGTTGCTTACTTCAAGTTTACTCCATCCTTCTGGATTCTCTGGCCAAATATTATGGAGCTGTCCTTGACTTCTCTAATTTTTTTTAAACCATCTTCCTTGTGGCTTGACTGTGGAAGTATGGATTGATCCAAGTACTGTACCCACTCGTCCTCCATGGGTGGGCACCTTCAGCTGCCTATAGGGCGTCCCTGCCCCTGCTGCCCTTTCATCCATGCTCCAAATAGCACAGGGGCCATGGATGGCGGTGGGGGGGCAGGGGGCGGCTAGTGAAAGGTCCACCACGGAATCCTGCATCACCAGGTGTGCACACCACACTCATGCACGCCCCGGTCTATCCGGCCTCACCTCCTGCTCTTCAGCCTCCCTGCTGTTTTCTACCTAGGGACTCATGCCCTCTCACACTCATGCACGCCCCAGTCTATCCAGCCTCACCTCCTGCTCTTCAGCCTCCCTGCTGTTTTCCACCTAGGGACTCATGCCCTCTTCGTCTTTTTTTTTTTTTTTCCTATGGGGTCCCCACTGAAAATTTCCTCTCTCTTCTACTTTTACCCCAGATGTCCTCAGTGACTTGTCCCCACACCTGCTTCAGGACTTTGCCCAGGTACCACCTCTGACTACCCTGTTTAACGTGGACCCAGCATTCCCTCCCACATCCCCCTCATTTTTCTTCATAGTCTTTTTAACAATGTGTGTATGATATGTGTTGCCTTTTTATCAATTTTATCACACACACACACACACACACACACACACACCAGAATGTAAATATCACCAGGCCTAGCTCACAGATGCCTTCCCAGCACCTAGAATGGTTACTGGCACGTAGTAGGTGCTCAAAAAATATTCTGAAGGAACTTGCTGTGATTCTCCAATGTGGTGCTCTCCTTTGAACAACTCCATCATTATTGCTTTTGCATGTCATTTTGCCGGAATGTCTACGTGTGTTCACTATGAGAATCTCAGTATACTCATGTGAAACACTTTTAACCTGAGATGTAACTCATGTACCTAGAAAGCAGCATTTTCCTCCTCCTACTTGCAGAAGAAGGATCTGGAACATCAGAGAACCCAGTCTACCCCTCTCCCACCTCAAATCACCCCCAGTCTCAGTGATAAACATTGCCAGTGATGAGATGTGAAAGACATCTCCTAAGCTTTTCTGAAAGATGATCCTTTTTTTTTCCTGGGTTCAAGCGATTCTCCTGCCTCAGCCTCCCAAGTAGCTGAGACTACAGGCACGTGCCACCCAGCTAATTTTTGTATTTTAGCTAGAGACAGGGTTTCACCATGTTGGCCAGGATGGTCTTGATCTCTTGACCTCATGATCCACCCGCCTCGGCTACCCAAAGTGCTGGGATTACAGGCATAAACCACCTCGCCCGGCTGATGCTCCTCTTAATCAAGAAGAACAATGTGGGAACAATCTCTTTTTCCTTCCTGCTTTGGCATAGTCATGCAAGGAGTTAATGCCAGGACCTATGGCAGCCATCTTATACCCATGAGGAAAAAAGTCAATAGAATCACAAAGAATACAAACCATACCCCTGCCAAGACTGAGGGGCTCATAACTCCTCCCTGAAATGCTCTGCTATCGAGTCAGCCTCAGGGTAGGTTAGCTTCCCTCCAGTGACCTGGTTCACTCCACACCCCTGCTTTCAGGGAGTTCATGTGCTCCCTAACCCCCAGGCCCCTACATCTCTAGAGCCTGCCCCACAGGGTGGAAGCCCAGCCTGTCTGCTCAGGGACAGAACCCCGCAGATGACTTTTTAGGATGGGTCACCTGCATCACCACCCAGCAGTGCCCTGTAGGGTCTTCATCCTCAAGCATAGATGGAGCTCCACTCTTGGGCCACACAAATCCACCCCAAATGACAGGCCCATGACACACTGACATGAGGCACAATAGGAGGACTCTGTAGACTTCTGCCTGCCCTGGCTCTGTTTCTAGTTTTTGGCTATTATGAATCAAACTGCTACGAACCTTCATATTCAGCTCTTTTTGTACAGACTTCCTCTTGGGCAAATATCTAGGAGTGGAAGTGCCATGCCATGCGGTGGGCATATGTTTACTTTTAAAAAGAAATCTCCAAGATCTTTACCTCTTCCCACTCTTGCAGCTGTGTCTGTGAGCCTGGTTGCTTTCAGCCCTCGCCAGCAACGGTGTCCTCAGTCTTATTCCTTTCACCTGCTCTGCCTGGGTGAAGTGATAGCTCATTGTGATTTTAGTTTCTCCTGAGAGCCAGAAAGGTTGAGAACTTTTTCATGTGCTTACTGGCCATTTGTAAATGTTTTTCCATCTCCTCTCCCACTCCTGTATGGTTTTTAATTACTGAGTTGTCAGCGTATATTCTGGATATAGATTGTGTATTCTGGATTTCAATTATTTGGCAGAGATAATGTTTTATAAATTTTTCTCCCAGTCAGTGGCTTGCCTATTCATTTTCATAATGGTATCTTTTTTTTTTTTTTGAGACAGAGAGTTTGGCTCCTTACCCAGGCTGGAGTGCAATGGCGCCATCTCGGCTCACTGCAACCTCCACCTCCTGGGTTCAGGTAATTCTTCTGCCTCAGCCTCCTGAGTAGCTGGGATTACAGGCATGCACCACCATGCCAAGCTAATTTTTTGTATTTTTAGTAGAGATGGGGTTTTCCCATGTTGACGAGGATGGTCTCAATCTCTTGACCTCGTGATCCACCCGCCTCAGCCTCCCAGAGTGCTGGGATTACAGGCGTGAGCCACCATGCCCAGCTCATAATGGTATCTTTTGAAGAAAAGTAATGTTTAGCTTGGAATTGTCACACGTGCCTGTAATCCCAGCTACTCAGGAGGCTGAGGCATGAGAATCGCTTGAACCCCAGAGGCGGAGGTTGCAGTGAGCTGAGATCGCGCCACTGCATTCCAGCCTGGGTGATAGAGTGAGCCTCTGTTCCAAAAAAAAAAAAGTAGGGCCGGGTGCGGTGGCTCAGGCCTATAATCCCAGCACTTTGGGAGGCTGAGGCGGGTGGATCACGAGGTCAAGAGATCAAGACCATCCTGGTCAACATGGTGAAACCCCGTCTCTACTAAAAATACAAAAATCAGCTGGGCATGGTGGCCCGCGCCTGTAGTCCCAGCTACTCGGGAGGCTGAGGCAGGAGAATTGCTTGAACCCAGGAGGCGGAGGTTGTGGTGAGCTGAGATCGCACCATCGCACCCCAGCCTGGGTAACAAGAGTGAAACTCTGTCTCAAAAAAAAAAAAAAAGTAATATTAATGAAGTATAATTTATCAATTTATAAAATTTGATGGTTATGGATTTCTGTCTCATAAGAAACATGTCTTAGCTCTAAGTCATGAAAATATTCTCCTGTGTTTTCTACCTTATAGATTTAGCTTTTATATAGGCCTGTGGTCCATCTAAAATTATTTAACTGGGCTGGGCGCAGTGGCTCATACCTGTAATCCCAACACTTTGGGAGGTTGAGGTGGGCAGATCATGAGATCAAGAGACAGAAACCATCCTGGCCAACATGGTGGAAACTCATCTCTACTAAAAATACAAAAATTAGCTGGGCGTGGTGGCGGGTGCCTGTAATCCCAGCTACTCAGGAGACTGAGGCAGGGGAATCGCTTGAACCTGGGAGGCAGAGGTTACAGTGACCCAACATCATGCCACTGCACTCCAGCCTGGGCAGCAGAGCAAGACTCTGTCAAATAATAATAATAATAACTAACTTGTTCAAATACACCAATTAAAAGAGTTTGGCAGAGGAAAATTTGTTTTAAAAAAAACCATGGTCAAGAATATAATTTCTACAAGAAACTTAAAATTCAATGATATAGGCAGGTTGAAAGTAGAAGAATAGGCCAGGTGCGGTGGCTCACACCTATAATCCCAGCACTTTTGGAGATGAAGCAGGAGAATCATTTGAAGTCAGGAGTTTGAGACCAGCCTAGTCAACACAGGATGAAACTCTGTCTCCACTAAAAATACAAAAATTAGCCAGGTGTGGCAGCATGCACCTGAAATCCCAGCTACTGAGGAGGCTGAGGCAGGTGAATCACTTCAACCTGGGAGGCAGAGGTTGCAGTGAGCCAAGATAATGCCACTGAATGACAGAGTGAGATTCTGTCTCAAAAAAAAAAAAAAAAAGCAAAAGGATACCACTGGATGTGGTGGCTCATACCTGTAATCCCAGCTACTCAGGAGGCTGAGGCGAGAGGATCCATTAAGCCCAGGAGTTGGAATCTAACCTGGGCAACATAAGTGAGGCCGTGTCTTGAAAGAAAGAAAAGGAAGAAAGAAAGGAAGGAAGGAAGAGAGAGAAAGAAGGAAGGAAGGAAAAAAGAAAGAAAGAAAGAAAGAAAGAAAGAAAGAAAGGAAGGAAGGAAGGAAGGAAGGAAGGAAGGAAGGAAGGAAGGAAGGAAGAAAGAGAGAGAAAGGGAAGAAAGGGAAGGAAGGAAGGAAGGAAGGAAGGAAGGAAGGAAGCTAGAAAAGACATACCATACCAAAAAAAAACAAACAAGAGTGCTTATATTAATATCAAATAAAGTAGACTTCCCAAAGCAAAGAAAATTCCAAAGAGAGACATTACATAATGACAAGAAGGGTCTGCATATCAAAAGAACATAGCATTCCTAAATGTGTATGCACCAAACAAAAGAGCTTCAAAATACATAAAAGAAAAACTGATAGAACTGAGACAAGAAATAAACAAATCTTCCTGAGGAATGGTCATGTAAGAAAATGAAACAAAAATTTAAAAATAAACAACAAAAAAAGAAATAAACAAATCTATACAGTCAGGACTTCAACAACCCTCTCTAGCAATTGATAGAACTACTAAACAAACGAACAAAAAAAAAATCACCAAAGATATAGAAGACCTGAAAAAGACTACCAGCCATCAGGATCCAACAGACATTTACAGAACACTCTGCCGTCAACAGCAGAATACATATGCACAATAACTAAAGTGTGAAAGCCACCCAAGTGTCCATCAACAGATGAATGGCTAAACAAAACGTGTTATATACATACAATGAAATATTATTCGACTGTACAAACAAATGAAGTTCTAATACACACTAAAACATGGGTGACCCTAGAAAACATTGTTCTAAATGAAATAAGCCAGACAAAAAAGCACAAAAGAACAAATATTGCATAATTCCACTTATATAAAATATCTAGAATAGGCAAATTCAGAGAGACAGAAAGTAGATTGCAGGTGACCAGAGGCTGAGGGCAGGGAGGAACTGGGAGGTATTGCTTAACGGGCACAGAGTTTATTTTCAGGGTGTTGAAAAAGTTTTGGAAACAGGTAGTTTTTAAAAAGGACTCCTGGACAGAGCCAATCTGCAAGGACTGGTAAAGACGTTTCCCTCACTCTCTCTCAGTCCCCTTTTTCCCCCATCATTTGTTTGTTTTGTATGTTGTTGATTTTAGTTCCTATCATTCAAAGAAATATTCAGGCTCAGGTATTGAGAGGGAGCCTGGCTCTCACAAGCTGGCCTTCAGGGTAGTAATAGTGAAAAGACTTGCTGAGAACAATTAGCAGGTGTGCATTCATCTGTGCCAGGCATGACCTGGGCCCCTGGGCCCCTTGCTGTTCTGAAGCCCTGGGCTCCACCAGTGCTCTCCACAGCAGCCAGCCCCACAACCCAGAGCTAGGTCCTATATCAACGGTCTCAGCCTGGCCAACATGCTGGTGAAGAGAGCAAGTGCCCAGCTCCCAGGGTGGGTAGGGAGAGGGCACCACCTGGGCCTGTCTGTGAGGGTGGCTTCTCATGCCTGCAGAGGAGACTCCCACGGGCCCTGGATACCTGTCCCTGGGCCTCCTGGGCTGTTGCTGCAGAGAGAGGAAGGGATGGGCACACCCCTGGGGTAGCTGGCACCCCCAGGCTTGGAGAACCCCCTCCCTTGTCCTGTGTGCCTCCCACCCACACTGTCCACGACTGTGACCAGGAGCTATAGGCAACGGCTGGACATTTGAAACATGGCAGGTCCAAATGAAAATGCTGTGCTGTGAGGGCAAAGTACACACTGGACTTTGAATACTTTGTAAGAAAAAAAGGTTGTAAAATGTCTGGTTAATAACTGTTACATGGCTAGTCACAGTGGCTCACACCTGTAATCCCAGGACTTTGAGAGGCTGAGGTGAGAGGAACACTTGAGACCAGGGGTTTGAGACCAGCCTGGGCAACAAAGGGAGAGCCCATTTCTACAACAGCAACAAAAATGTTAGCCAGGTGTGGTGGCACGTGTCTGTGGTCCCAGCTACTCTGGAGGCTGAGGCAGGAGGACAATCACTTGAGCCCAGGAGGTGGAAGCTGCAGTGAGTTGAGATCACACCACTGCACTCCAGCCTGGGTTACAGAGACTCCCTCTCTGAAATAAATAAAAATAATAATTGGCCGGGCACAGTGGCTCACGCCTGTAATCCAGCACTTTGGGAGGCTGAAGCGGGCAGAATACGAGGTCAAGAGATCAAGACCACCCTGGCCCAACATGGTAAAATCCATCTTTACCGAAAATACAGAAATTAGCTGGGCATGGTGGTATGCACCTGTAGTCCCAGCTATTCAGGAGGCTGAGGAAGGAGAAACACTTGAACTTGGGAGGTGGAGGTTGCCATGAGCCGAAATTGTGCCACTTCACTCCAGCCTGGCAACACAGCAAGACTCCATCTCAAAAAAAAAATAAAAAACAAAACAAAGGTCAGGCACAGAGGGTCATGCCTGTAATCCCAGCACTTTGGAAGGCCTAGCTGGGTGGATCACCTGAGGTCAGGAGTTCAAAACTAGACTGGCCAACATGGTGAATCACTTGAGTCCGGGAGGTGGAGGTTGCAGTGAGTCGAGATCTTGCCATTGTACTCCAGTCTGGGTGACAGAGTGAGACTCCATCTCAAAACTAAATAATTAAATAAATAAATATTATACTGAGTACCTATTAGAGTAATGATATTTGGAGTATATTTCGTTAAAATCTATAAGATGAATTGCACCTGCTTCTTTCTACTTTTTAGATATGGCCCCAGGAAAGCTGAGTGTGCATATGGGCTCCACAAGCTGCTGGACTCAGTGGCCCCCTGGGCACTCTGAGGTCACACTAGGAGCCCCCAGACAGGACCCTCTGCTCCTGGCTGTGGGCAGAGTGGCACCCCATTCTCCACCTGGAGGGCTGCATCTCCAGTGTAGCCTGCCAGCCTGCAGTGCCATCACCCCAGCTTATGGAGATGAAGAGGCTGAGGTTTCTAAAATGTCTGTCAAGGGGCAGCAGAACCTGGCTCAGAACCAGCTGCTGGGCCACAGAGTCTTCCCCCTGGCCCTGCCAGCCCTGCTGGGGCCTTTCACCTGCACCTGACCTGCTCCTGGGTGTGGGTATCTACACCTCCTTCCTGCATAAAATTAATCTATTTTTGGCCAGGCATGGTGGCTTGCAAGAGTGAAACTCTGTCTCGAAAAAAAAAAGAAAAGAAAAAATTCATCCATTTTAGGTGTGAATCAATGATTTCTAGCTAATGTGTGCAGTTGAGCAAGCTCACCACAATCCAGTTTTCCAGCACTTCTGTCGCCTCACCCCGCCCCCATCCTGACACCCACTTTCCGTCTGTGGATGTCCTTCTCTCAGCACTTGATGCAAATGGCATCTGATCATACGATCTAGCATCATAGCCTTTTGCATTTGGCTTCTCTCACTTAGCATGACCTTTAAAGGGGGTGTCCATGCTGTGGCATTTTTTTTATTGCAAATGATTTATTCCTCTCAGAGAAGGCAGCTGCACTTGTTGCTGAACTTGTAAGGGGGATGTTTTAATTTGGGAGGCAGGATGCCCCTCCTCCTGAAGCCCATTCTGAGTGCGCCCTCCCCAGCCCTGGTCAGTGAACCTCTCCACGGACAGGTCAGCCTTGCAACTCTCCCTCATGCACATGGAGATCGTCATACTTACTGTCAGATCTGATTCTGGAGAGGAAAGAAAATGCCAGTTTCGTGTCACTATTTTCAATGGAAAGATCGTGAGACTCTTCAAAAGAGCTGCTCCCCAGCCCAGTCCCATATCCTGCACTGATGTCTCCAGGTGTGGCCCTGGGCATCTATGTGTTTAAAATTCCTGTAGGACAGAGTTGACAATGGAAACTGTTTTCTGCTTAACTCTTACATTTCCTCTTATTTTTTCAGTTGAGAACCAATGTTTGAGTTAGAAATTACGACATTCCTGGCCGGGCGCAGTGGCTCATGCCTATAATCCCAACACTTTGGGAGGCCAAGAGGGGTGGTTCACGAGGTCAGGAGTTCAAGGCCAGCCTGGCCAACATGGCGAAACCCTGTCTCTATTAAAAATACAAAAATTAGCTGGGCGTGGTGGCAGGCACCTGTACTCAAGAGGCTGAGGCAGAGAATTGCTTGAACTCAGCTGGCAGAGGTTGCAGCGAGCCGAGTTCATGCCACTGCACTCTAGCCTGGGTGACAAAGCAAGACTCTGTCTCAAAAAAAAAAATAGAAATTATGACATTCCCAAATTCTACTTCAATCTTTATGTGACACACACGGCTTATTTAATAATTGTTTAGTAACAGCACATCTCAGTCTCACAATTGGCCTAATGGATTAACAGTTTGTTTTGATTACTTAAATAATTGTGCTTGGATGATCAATTGGCCTGTTAGCAACGCGGCTTCTTTCTTAGCTATATGCACACTGACAATAGGCCTCTTACACGTGGCTGTGCACTCACTGTGTGGATGGGATGGAATCCGAAGGTCCCGTCCTCCCGACTCAAGCAGTGTATGTGGTTTCCCAGTAATCTCTGTGACGCAAAACCTGAGAGAGCAAAAGGCCCAAAACATTCAGTGTCATGAGTGGACACTTTTCCAATTCCGGTTTGCACTTTTTTGGTCAAGGAGTGTGTTTGTGCATGGGTAGAGAGGAGAATCTGTGATACACACACATGCTATTTTTGCACTGACACCCAGGGTATTAAATACACATTAAAAAATAGAAAAGCTGACGTTGGAGCTCATCTTTCTGCCTCTTATGCTGCCCCTAGGATGCCGCCAGGATGCAGAGGTGGAAACCAACACTTTCCTGCTGTGGAAACAACCACAGTGTTGACTGTGTCCCACCTCCTTTCCTAAAGTCAGCCTGGGCATGCCCATAGGAGCAGGTACCCCGACAAAGGGAGAGCCTCGAGGTGCAAAACACAGGAGACAGCTGTTTCATTTGGTGAACGGTCTCCATACATGATCACTGCACCTGCAAACCACAGCTCACTATGGCACAGTGACCTGCACATCTGACCTCATGCTTGATTTTAAAGGGGACGCTCCTAAAGTCTTAAATGTGGCAGTTGCAGGTCTTGGTAGATAAACTTTAACAAGAAAAGGAAAGTCCCTTATAGATGTAGTTTGCAAAGAGAGTTTGTCTGCTTACTTTTATTTTATGCATCCACCAGATAGATCATGCTTTGAGGGCTTTTCTGTGGTGCCTTACAAAGCAATGTACTCTGTTTTTTTGTCTTGTGGATTTTTTTGAGACAGAACCTTGCTCTGTCACCCAGGCTGGAGTGCAGTGGCATGATCTTGGCTCACCGCCACCTTAACCTCCTGGGTTCAAGTGATTCTCATGCCTCAGCCTCCCGAGTAGCTGGGATTACAACACGCCATAATATCCCACTAATTTTTGTATTTTCTTTATTATTATAATTATTTTTTTTTTTTTTTGAGACAGGGTTTCACCTTATTGGTCAGGCTGGTCTTGAATTCTGAACCTCAGGTGATCTGCCCACCTCGGCCTCCCAAAGTGCTGGGATTACAGGCATGAGCCACCACGCCTGGCCCAATTTTTGTATTTTCAGTAGAGACAGGGTTTTGCCATGTTGGCCAGGCTGGTCTCAAACTTCTGACTTCAAGCAATCCGACTGCCTCAGCCTCCCAGAGTGCTGGGATTACAGCCATCAGCCACCGTGCCCAGCAGCAATCCACTCTTTATTTTTATGGTGGTTGTCCTTAAGATCCACACTTATATTTATTTACTTGTATTTATTTCATAAATTTAACAGTTGTCTATTTCTTTTCTACCACAAAAAGAATTTTACAAATTCTCAAGCCCCTCCCATTGTCTCTCACCCCTGTATGTGCCGTGCCTCACTGGGAAGGTTTCATGTATACTTATGATGAGCAGGCTCACAGCACTGTCTCTTACCCTGGGTATTATGTAAAGAGACACCCATTCCTCTGAGAATGAAAAAAAGAGAATTTCAGTAGTTTCGTTTTCATTTAATAATAAAAGAAGTTGAACATTGTTTTCATGGCTGCTAAAAATTTATAAATATATATGTAGAGAATGGGTCTTGCTCTGTTGCCCAGGCTGGAGTCCAGTGGTGTGATCTCAGCTTACTGTAACCTCTGCCTCCTGGGCTCAAGTGATCCTCCTGCCTTAGCCTCCCAAGTACCTGGCACCACAGGCATGCACCACCATGCTTGGCTAATTTTTCAATATTTTTGTAGAAATGGGGTCTCACTATATTGCCCAGGTTGATCTTGAACTCCTGGGCTCAAGCGACCCTCCGGCCTCAGCCTCCCAAGGTGCTGGGATCACAGGCTGAGCCCTGCCAGACCTCAATGCATGTTTCTGGCTTTGAGCTGTCTGTTGATAGTCTTTGCCATTTCCTTCTTCATTTTCCTTTTTATTGTCTATCATGTAATACTTGTTGATTGTCGAAATTAGTAAAAACAAAGAAACTAGAAGGTAGAAAAAAGTGGCAGGCACCTAAATTCCCAACGCAGAACCACATTACATGTTTCACCCTGTGGCCTTTCAAGTTTCTCTTAGATGTCCACCACATGGACCTGATGTGGAAATTTCCACACTCTAAATGGTGATGCTACACATTCAGACATTGAGACGACCTTGTAAATTTCCTCTGCTGGGTGTGGCTTCAGGATTTTCCTACCTTTATTTCTTTTTCAGTTTGAGAAACATAAAGGTTTGCTTATGATCTCTTAGATTATTTTAAACTATTTGTTGTGTTAACAGACACTAGAAAGGATAAGAAAAAAGAAATTTTAATTCCTCCAAATGGTTTTATCTTAGGTGATTATTTTTTACTTCTTTACTTCACTTATATCATACGTAGAAAAACAATCATAGAACTCATCTGAAATACCTACTGTCAACAGTAGCAGGATCACTTGAGGCCCGGAGTTGAAGACAAGTCTGGGCAACATAGTGAGACCCAGTCTCTAAAAAAAAATACAAAAATGAACCAGGTGTGATGGCTCGCACCTGTGATGGCTCGCACCTGCGATGGCTCGCACCAGCTACTCCTGCTCAGGGGCACTGAGGTGGGAGAATCACTTGAGTTTGAGGCTGCAGTGAGCTGTGATCCCACCAGTGCACTTCTGCAAGACTCTGTCTCTAAAAAGAAAATAAAAGCTACTGCTGTTTATTTTCGTTTGCTTCTTTCCTTCTTTTTTGTCCCCTTTTATTCCTTTTTTCTTCTCTCTTTCCCTTTGTCCCTCCCTCTCTCCCCTGCTCTCCTTCTTTCTCTTTAGGATAAGACCTGAGAAGACCTTATCCTTCTCAGGTCGCGTGGTGGAAAAAGGGCAGGGTTGAGACATCTGGGATACTATGAAGTCTGGTTTGGGGTCTTTCAATGTGGGGCTGATTAGGACTAGGATAAGGGTCACAATATGACAATTTATAAGTGTCGAACACAAAAAGGCGAAAGTTCAGAGAGCCCTAGGGATAAATTTGTTTCTGCTTTCTACTGAAGAGTTGATGGGCCTTTCCGGAAGTTGCTGGAATAAACGATGAAGTTTTTTCAGGGTTGTGCTGAGAAGGTGACCCAAAAGCTACGGCCACTGACGAGGATGCTGAGCCCAACCACAAGTGCGGCCTTGGAGCCCCCTTGTGGTCAAAGGACAGCGCCGGTGCGGGGTCGGGGACGATCCATGCAGTTTCAGCTCCCGGGCAGTTCACCTGCTCCCCTTGCTGGATGATCATTTGGGCATCATTTGCAGGACTGCACCTGCACAACAGCATTTTAAATCAAACACTGGGCTGGGAACAGTGGCCCACGCCTATAACCCCAGAACTTTGGGAGCCCGAGGCAGGTGGATCACTTGAGGTCAGGAGTTCAAGACCAGGCTGGCCAACATGGTGACACTCCATCTCTACTAAAATACAAACATTAGCTGGGCATGGTGGCACATGCCTGTAATCTCAGCTACTCGGAAGGCTGAAGCAGGAGAATCACTTGAACCTGGTAGGGGGAGGTTGCAGTGAGCTGAGATCGAGTCACTGTACTCCAGTCTGGATGACAGAGCGAGACTCCATCTCAAAAAAATAAATAAATAAAAATAAATAAGTCAAACACTGGGCTGAGTGTGGTGGCTCATGCCTATAATCCCAGTGCTTTGGGAGGCTGAGCTTGAGGCCAAAAGTTCCAGACCAGCTTGGGCAACACTGCAAGACCCCATCTCTACAAAAAACACACATAACTCTAGCTCACTGCAACCTCAAACTGCTGGGCTCAAGCGACCCTCTCACCTCAGCCTCCTGAGCAGTCCGGACTACAGGCATGCCACCACCCCAGCTCATCAACAGCATCCTGGTCATCAGGTAGGTCTAAAAAAAAGAAAGCAGCAGTATCCTGTGAGGCCTGTGAGAGTGAGGCTGCCTCCACCTGGGCTCCAGCAGCTCCCTGCCACCTTCCAGGCTCTAGCTCAGTGACGGCCCAGTGCAAAGAGCAGCTCCCGCCACAGCCCTGGCACTGCTTAGGGACATCAAGACAGGGAGGCTTCCATTTCAGATGCCTGCCCTGTTCTGGTTTCTGCCCAAAAAACTCACCTAATGGTTAGTCTAGTTGCCCAGGAACAAGAGATTACAATGAAGGGAACATGGGTGAGTTTCAAAGGAAACTGGACAAGGGACAGGCGCTCTGGTCAGCATCTTCCCTGCTGCAGCCACTTCGAGGGTAAATCGCACACAGGACCAGCCACAGACCACACTCTCTTGCTATCCCAGGCCCACAGCAGGGACAGACCTGGCCCCTTGCTGACAGCATCCCTACCCCAACCCATGGCAGTGCCCCTCATGAAGGCTTTACGCTATGGTGGGGCATTCAGTGATTCATGCAGGTCCCTAGGTGAGCCCCAGAAGGTCATGGGACGCTGGCCTGCCTTCCACACCCTCATCCCCAGCCCAGGCCTGAGGCTCCCCACGGACGCGCTGCCCCTTTGGGAATGGGAGCAAAATGGGAACTGGAAAGAGTCCATCTCAGGCCTTCCGGAGAAGGATGGGTCTCCTCCAATAGGTGGCTTTTAATGCCTCAGGGGTCACAGACTCTTGGAGAGCTAAACAAATTGGCCATCTCAGAATATTTACTTTGTCACCTACAAACACAATTCTGAATACACTTACCCCACACACCAGCATGAATGTGATTTCACAAACTGAGCTCCATGGGCCTCAAGTCCAGACTGGTCCTCAAGGTAGACTTGCTCCTGAGGACCGTTCATGGACCCCTCAGACCCTAGAGGAGGCAGTGCAGGAGGAAGGGGCCACCAGCAAGCCCTGGGCCTCCGCAATCAGACCAGTAGTCGGCAGCCTGGCAGCTGGTGGAGAGGAAGTTTTTACTCAGCCATGAGCTGCTGGCCAGTTCCACTGGGGAGAGAGTCAGGGGCTTGGACATGGAATCGGTTCACTGTTAGACAGCCCAGATCCCAGCAATGAGAATGTCTGCTCATCATGATGACAACCCTCAGGGCAGCTGGGCCACATGCTGGACAGCCCAGGAACTCAGCAGGGGTTAGGCCGATGGTGCACAGGACAGGCTCATCCTGGGAAAAAGACGTGCCTGCCATTTAGCCAGCCTGAAAGTATTCTGGAAGGAGGGCAGAAAACCTGCCTCAGCCAGGGCCTCCCAGGGCATCATGACAACATGAAGACAAGAATATGTGGGAGGGAGCTGAGGAGAGGCTGGAGGCTCTGGGCCAGGGAGGCAGGGGAGGGCCTGGGGCTGGAGGTGTCTCAGGACAGAGGAAGCTGGGCTTCACTGGTAGCCACACTGGTCCTGAGTGCTCCCCACCTCCTGCCCTGCCGATTGTCAGCCAAGCGTTCTAGAAAGAACACCATGAAAGCAGAGCAGGCCAGAGAACTCCATGGAGAGTTCATGGAAACAGCAAAATCTCAAACAGCTCAGTGTCAGAAGGCAGAACCAGCTCTGTGACCTTGGGGACAGGGCTGCCCTCTGCAGGACAGATAGGGATCAGCCTGTGCCTGCCACCCACCCAGCAGAGCCTGAGCTGAATCCCCTGCTCCACCATGAACAAACATCTGGCATTAACTCACTCACCGCTCCCCCCCATTCTGCTTTAGTAGAGAAGAGCCTGGGTCAGGCTGAGCACGGGCTATGCTGACCCTTCCCATCACTGGAGACTGGCAGAGGCTGCAGCATGAGGAAGTGGACCCCAGAGAGCACAGGTGACAGAAGTCCCGGGAGCCAGAGGACAGGGCTGGACTTTGACTTGCAGCACCTGATTTCAGATGCTGGGTTGGCCACAGGCCAGCTGCTCAAGCTTGAACAAGTGACTCGACACACCTGGGCTTCCTCTCACTTTTTCAAATCTGGTGGCTGTAGGCATTGAATGAGTTAAAGTACCAAGTGCTCAGAACTGGGACAAGCACAAGTAGTTCTCCAGGGCTGGTTCTCCTGATAGAGAATGTCCTCGCTGTGGAGGTTATGAGAGAACTTCATTAACCTTTGGGGATCCCGTGTCCTCGCAGCTCCATCCTGAGGCCACCTGGGATGCTGCTGCAGCACCTTTGTCAGGCCCCAGCAGGAGCATGTAATGAACTCCAAGTCCTCAGACCCAGATCCCTTTGGTAGAACTACTAGGATGAATGCTGCCCACATTGGCGTGTGCAGCGGATTCCCCTAGAGAGTGTTCAAACAACATAAAACAAAACTATTGAAAAAAAATTTACATTTACACTAAAGTGCTTCTTCCCCTGGAGGCCAGGGAGGCCCCTCTTTAGGCCTAGATTCTATTCTAGGACCATGGTATTTCCATGAAGAGGAGGCAAAACTGCTTGAGAGACCCCACCCCTGCCCAGGGGAAGCCTGGGCCTGGGAGCCCTTCAGTAGGGTCTAAAGCCTAGGTCTTCCTGGAAATGCTTTTACACTGCTTGGTCTTTGAAATATTTCCATTTTGAGGTGTTCTTTTCTGAAAATTCCTCCTCATTCCAAGCCTGCCTGCAGCCAGCCCTAGAGCGTGGAGGTTACCAATCGTCTCGGTACAGGGACACCACCTGTGTTTCAGATGAGTGGACAGTTTTCTGTCATTTTCCCTGCACTTTTTGTCTCCACTCCTTGTTTAGATTATTTTTGCTTATTCCTTTCTATTTCTGCACGTTCTCATTTTTTGTTTTCTTTTTTGAGACAGGATCTCGCTCTGTTACCCAGGCTGGAGTGCAGTGAAGCAATCATAGCTCACTGCAGCCTCCACCTCCATGGCTCAAGTGATCCTCCCACCACAGCTTCCCAAGGTGCGCACCTCCACACCCAGCCAATTTTTGTTTGCTTGAGTTTTTTTGGTAGAGATGGGGTCTCATTGTGTTGCCCAGGTTGGTCTGGAACTCCTGGGCCCAAGCAATCTGCCTGCCTCAGCCTCCCAAAGTGCTGGGATTACAGGCATGAAGCAATGTGCCCCCCTAGCTAATCCTTTTCTTTTCTTCCTTTCTGAGGATCAAAGGCCTTCTCTGCTACTCACTGAAGCACTGTGCTTCCTGCCTTCCCTGACCTGGGAGCCTCTGCAGGCCAGAGCCCCAGTGAGTGCGGCCTTGTGGCTGTACACCTGAACTGCCTTCCTCCCTGTGGCTGGAACTTCCTTCCAGCCTTGGGTGATTCCCTGGGTGAGGCTCATTCCTAGCCTTGCAGGTTTTCAGAAGGTAACTTTGCTGCTTTGGCCAGAAGCCTGCAATCTGGCAATATTCAGTGCTGTGGCACTTCTGTGCAGATAGTTTTAAACTTTGGTTCAGTTCAATCCTGATTCATTTGATGTCTTAAGGAAGGTGGAGCCCCAAGAATAAAATGATAATAAGTGAGGACTTCCGGTTCTGGTTCTGCATGTAAGGAGCTTGGAAGACATCCTTCAATAGATGTGTGGCACTAAATTCCCTGCAGCCTACTCCCAAGGAAATCATTTCCAAGTTGGGCTTTTCCAACCCCAAGCTTGGCCAGACCACATCCCTCTCCCCAGAGGCCCTGCCACCTCCCCACACTCTTGTATCTCCACCCTCGCCTCTGGTTTGCAGCGGAGGCTACTCCCTCCACCAGTGTCACCTGCTGTTCAGGTAGCATGCGGCCACACCTTCTGGTCAGTGCTCTGACTCACCTGCCTGTGTCCCATCATTCTTCTGTGGGCCATATCTTCAGGATGATCCTTTGCTGGTTCCTTGTCCCTAAATTATCTCCAAAGGTGAGTTTTTCCCAAACCACATTTTCACAGGACATTTTGAGGGCTGTGTTGAAGGCTTGTGCAGGTTTTGTTATAATTCAAGTTTGGGATATGGTCATTTTCCTCACTTTAAAAGAATACATGAGGCTGTGTATAATGGCTGGAGTCTGTAATCCCAGCACTTAAGAAGGCTGAGGTGGGAGGATCACTTAAGCTCAAGAAGTCAAGTCTGCAATGAGTTGGGATCATACCACTGCACTCCAGCCTGGACAACAGAGTAAGACCCTGTCTCAAGAAGGAAAAAAATAAAATAATAAATAAGATACCGTGTGTGAGAGAGGTTATAAAGGTAAGGATAAATAATGAATAGAAAGACTCCCCGTAGAATTCAGGACACACCATGTCCTCAGGTGGCCTCTGTGCACCTGAGCCTGGGTCAGCCTCTCAAGGGTGCCACCACTGGCCTTGGAGGTGAGCATAACCCCTGGACAACCCCCAGGCTTCATTCTTGTCCTCGGTGTGAATTGTTTCCTTGCTTCTTGTTGTGGTTTTCTTTTGTGTTGTGGCTTGAAAGAACACACCAGAGGACTTGGTGTGCCCCCCGCTTCCTCTGTGCAGTCTTGTGCCTGCCTCACCCTCGGCCAAGAGGCCAACCTCTGCAGACATGCCTTTGTCATGTCATGGTTCCCTGTGATCAGACACTAAACTCAGGAGACACCAAGACTGGCAGCTTGGCTTTACACCCAAACCATCTTGGTGCTTCACAGACAGCCGGATCCCTCACCTCATCACCAGAGACAGCAACCACACAAGAAAGGCCCCAAAAATACCAGGTACCGTGGTGTCCTTGACCTTTAATTAGCTCCACATTTTCTATTTGCTACAAACTGAAGAGCTAACCTGCTGACCTGTTTATGCAGCCCACAGGGTGGAAAAAGTTCTAAAATCTAAAAGTAAAGCTCGGAAGCTAATTTTGCATATGCAAAATGTACAAGGTATGAATAAACTGTTATATTAATAAAATGCCCTAGAATTCGTACTCTTTCCAGAGGGAATGGGAAGGCCTGGGGCCTCATCCATGTCCTGACTGTGCTGTGCTGTGTGCCCCTGGGGAAATGCCTACCAAATCGGTCTGGGTCGCACCCCATGAGGGGTTGCTTCTCCTCTCAACTCTTCTGTTGCCAGCTACTGTCATTATTTCACCAGGCCGTCAGGTCACCTGGGGGCAGATGGTTTCTGCTTTTCTGCCATGCTTGTCTGGAGACTCAATTTAAGTTAAAAGCTAAAAACTGTATCTCTAACAGAGGACCATCTCAAAGGCAGGGTGGAAAGAGCCAGATTGGACACTCAGCAAATGACACCACAAGGACATGGCTGGTGGTGCAGACATCTTTGCACCAGTCAACATTACCCCGAGACTGTGTCCAGTAGCTGAGTGAAGGTTTCTAGGACTCTCAGGCAAAAACAGGAAGAAACTCTCCACAACTCCATGGTTGGCTGGGACACAAATTCACAGTCAGGAAGCCACAGAGGGGAGTGTCTTGTCACAGCTGGGATCCTAGCTGAGAGGATAGAGACTGAGTTGCAAGCTGGCTGTGGCTTCTCTGAATTTCCATTTTGCCTTTCTACAGAATAACGATAACAGAGCCTCCCCACTGGTGGGTTGTGTGTTTTCAATTAGTTAACATGAGCAAAGAGCATCAAACAGTGCAGCATCATGAGTGAGCTCATGCTGTGGCCCCTCATTTTCATTTAGTGCCACTGGAGACCTCGAGAAAGAGGATCCCTTTGAACTTTGGTGACTAACATCTATCCATCTCAGCTCTGTCCTGGAGGTCAGCTGAGATCGTGGGTAAGTGCTTCACCAAGGCCACTCACTTCAGGCATGGGGCGGGCTCTGAAATCATTGCAGTGTGTTTCCACAGCCTCTCTGGAACAACATCTGCTTACTGCCCCAGCTCCATGCTCCTGCTGGAGCCCATGCCTGTCTAGACACCCCTCCCTGCTGGAGGACCTAACATCCCTGCCTGTTTTTGCCTCGAGTTCTTCAACATAGAATCTCTGCTCCCAGGAGCAGGGTGGGGGAGTAAATGGCCATGGCTGAGCTTCGCTCCATGTGGTTAGACCTGAAGATGAACTCCAGGCAATAGAACCAGAGTGGGCCCTGGAGATCTGGATCCCAGTCCCCCTCTGAGAGCCATTACCAGGCACATTGCTAAGTGATCCACAAAACTGATGTGTCTGTCAGAGTGCTTCAGAGTGCTATCAGGGTTTTAAATGTAGGAGAACAGTAGCAAGAGGATCCCTTCTTTAGGCTCTTGCAGTAGTTCAGGTGAGACAGACCAGAGCAGGAGCCGTGGAGGTGGTGGGGCGACAGATTCAGACATGGACCAGATAGGACATGCGAAACAGGGTCAAGGTCTGGGCCTCCAGGTAAGCCTGGCACCTTTGCTGAAACAGGGAGCACTGCTGGAGGGTCATATTTTTTTGAGGAGTATCAGTAATTCTATTTTGAACATGTTCAATGTGAAATGAACATCAGACATCTGATATGGTTTGGATTTGTGTCCCCACCCAGATCTCCTGTTCAACTGTAATCCCCAGTGTTGGAGATGAGGCCTGGTAGGAGGTGATTTGATCATGGGAGCGGAGTTCTCATGAAAGAGTTAGCATCATCCCCTCGGTGCTGTTCTCCTATTAGTGAGTGAGTGAGTTCTGGAGGGATCCAATTGTTTGAAAGCGTGGGGCACCCCCTCCTTCCCTCTCTTGCTCCTGCTCCTGCCGTGTGCCACACCTGCTCCCGCTCTACCTTCTGCCATGAGTGAAAGCTCCCTGAGGCCCTCCCCAGAAGCAGATGCTTCCATGCTTGTGTATTGCCTGCAGAATCCTGAGCCAATTAAACCTCTCTTCTTTATAAATTACTCAGTCTCAGGCCCTTTTTCAGCAGTGTGAGAATGGACTAATACAACACCCATGCATGATGTGTGTGAGGAAGTTGACTGCTTGAGCTTAGGTCCACAAAAACAGGCTGGAGGTCCACAAAAACAGCGGCCTGGAAAGTCAGCATGCAGATGGAATTAAAAATCATGTCTCAATACCTTCATTTAAGGAGTGTGAAGAGATCAAAAGAAGGCTCCAAAGCCAGAGTCTGTAGCACTGCCACTGCAAAGGTGAGAAAGTGAGACCCAGGGAGGCCCCCTGAGAAAGGCTGAAGACAAGGAAATGCTGTCTCAAGCCAAGTGGGGAAAGGGCTTCAAAGAGAGGGTGAGATCCACCAGAAGCTGTGCAGGGTGTGGGAGGGTGGTCCAGAGTCCCATGGGTGTTCACAATGGGACATCCTTGTCATAAAGGATGGCATATCACAAAGGATGCTTCCAGGTTCAAGTGCAGGAAAACCTTGCCAAAGTGGCTTAAACAACAGGATGTTGGCCAGGTGTGGCGGCTCATGCCTGTGATCTCAGCACTTTGGGAGGCTGAGGCAGGTGGATCACCTAAGGTCAGGAGTTCAACATCAGTCTGGCCAACATGGTAAAACCCCCATCTCTCTGAAAAAATACAAAAATTAGCTGGGCATGGTGGCACACGGCTGTAGTCCTAGCTACTTGGGAAGCTGAGGCAGGTGAATCACTTGAACCCGGGAGGTGGAGGTTGCAGTGAGTTGAAATCGCACCACTACACTCCAGCCTGGTGACAGAGCATGAGTCTATCTCAAAAAAAAAAAAAGAAAGAAAAAATATGAAACTTGACACTCTCCTTTATTTTGGAAAAAAAAGAAAGAAAGAAAAGAAAAATATAAAATTAGCCAGGTGTGGAGGTGTGCTCCTGTAATCCCAGCTACTCGGGAGGCTGAGGCAGGAGAATTGCTTGAATCCAGGAGGGGAGATTTCAGTGAGCCAAGATCCTGCCACTGCACTCCAGGCTGCTCGATGAAGCAAGACTCTGTCTCAAGATCTCTGGGGTCTGGAGACCCAAGGCACCTGGGTTGGATATCTCTAAACCACACAAACTGGGCGCTGGGGTTGGCTTCTTAAAGATGCTCTTCTTCCCTAGTCGTGGATGGCGCCGCAGCTACGCACGTCATTTACCAAGGCCACTTTCCCATACCACACACAGGGAGTCCTTGGTTTCTGGTGCTGCCCATCAGAACTGGGCGGAACTGCCAAGTTGGTCTAACTCTACTCCAACCCCTGACAAAGGGAACAGCCTTCGGGAGGCTCCGCTCTCAGTGCACTTTGCTCAAGATGCCTGAAGAGTGATTACTTTGAGAAAGAAAGGAAGATTTTTTAGGGAAGAAGCGCCTTTCTTTTCGCGGTCAAGGAATGAAGGCCCCAAGAGACCAGGGTAGACGGTGAAGGAATCCGGAAAGGTGACAGAAACGGTGAAGAGAGGCGAGGTGGGGCCAAAATCTTCACTAACCAACAAGAAGGGCTCCGGGGGCTTTGGAAGACCTCTTTTACAGCAACCGTAGCCCCTCCGCGCCTCACCTGCCCCTTCAGTACCTGTGCGAGGGTCTCCTGCGCGAGCTCGGCCCCTCAGACCGAGCCAGTTTGCCGTCACCATGGCAACAGCGCGACCTTGGCGGGGGCGGGCTGCCAGTGCCTTTGTGACGCAATCAGATCTAAGCCAGTGATTGGCCGTCTGGGCGCGGGGCGGGGCTGAGTCCGTCAGAGGGGGCGGAACTGAGGCTCCGGTAAAGGTCCCGTGGCTGGGCTAGGCCGAGGGAGATGATGGATGCCCATTCTAGACCCTCCACCGAGGCACCACAGAGAGAGAGGAGCCTGCAAGAGGAGCCTGCAAAGAGCAGGGAGGGCGGCTTCAAAAGCACTGTTCCCCGGCAAAGTCACTAATGGGCTCCCATCCTCCCTACCAAGAAACTTTGTGAAACCCACGAAACAGCTAGAAATGGAGCCCAAAAGACAGCCAAGAAAACAGACGACAGAGAGGATCAAGGCCCAGCAGGACCCGGCACTACAATGCTCGTGCACCAGGGTGTCTAGAATGGGAAGGTCCCAAGGGGCTGCAGTGGGATGGAGGGATGGTGCAGCCCGCAGGTTCCCTCCCGGCAGAGTGGCAGGAACTCGTGCTTCTAAGCTTTCACGGAGGATTGGCGGCCCCATTGCCTGAAAACGTCGGTCTGTTTGTCAGGAGGAGTTCGGAGCATATAATTTTGCGGAGCCATTTTCTTCTAGGGAGTTCATCTTCCTGTGCGGGAGTGGGGGAACCCAGGAGGAGGGGTGAGAGAAAACAGCACATAACTGAACGACAGATGAAGATAAATTGTAAACGAAAATTTTAAAGTGTTTAATCAGACAATGAAGAGAAACTCAAAACAATAAACCTTTTCAAGGAAGTACACAATAAAAATCTCTTAGACGAATCATCAGGGCTTAAAGATGAGTGGAAAATCGGCTTGCTTCTTGGGAACCAAAAGAAAACAGAAATTTTTTTAGACAGTTTTGCTCTGTCGCCCAGGCTGGAGTGTAGTGGCTCAATTCTGACTCACTGCAACCTCCACTTCCCGGATTCAGTGATTCTTGTGCCTCAGCCTCCCAAGTAGATGGGATTACAGGCATATGCCACCACTCTGAGCTAATTTTTGTATTTTTAGTAGAGATGAGTTTTCTTGTTGTTGACCAATTTGGTCTTGAACTACTGGCCTCAAGTGATCCACCCGCCTTGGCCTCTGAAAGTGCTGTAATTACAGTTGTGAGCCACCATGTTTGGCTGAATTTTTTTTTCTTTTTTTTGAAACCTAAGCCTTAAAGCATTTTTGTCGGGGGGGTGGGGGAGGAGTTTTGCTCTTGTTACCCAGGCTGGAGTGCAATGGTGCAATCTTGGCTCACTGCACCCTCTGCCTCCCGGGTTCAGGTGGTTCTCCTGCCTCAGCCTCCCGAGTAGCTGGGATTGCAGGCATGCGCCACCACACCTGGCTAATTTTGCATTTTTAGTAGAAATAAGTTTTCTCCATGTTGGTCAGGCTGGTCTTGCCCTCCCAAAGGGCTAAAATTGCAGGTGTGAGCCACCACACCCCGCCCCAAATTTTTTGTGTGGTGGGGGGAACAGAGTCTTGCTCTGTTGCCCAGGATGGAGTGCATGCAGTGGCATGATCTCAGCTCACTGCAACCTCCGCCTCCTGAGTTCAAGTGATTCTCCTGCCTCAGTCTCCTCAGTAGCTGGGACTACAGGCGTGTGCCACCACCCTCAGCTAATTTTTTGTATTTTTACTAGAGATGGGGTTTCACCGTGTTGGCCAGGATGGTCTCGATATCTCCTGACTGCGTGATCTGCCCCCCTTAGCCTCCCAAAGTGCTAGGATTACAGGGGTAAGCTACTACGCAGAGCCCCGAATTTTTTTAATGTACTAAAGTACATTAAAAAGTACTTGAAAAAGCTGGTTATCTATGAGCCAATTGCAGGATTTTTTTTTTGTTGTTGAGACAGGGTGTCAGTCTGTTGCCCAGGCTGCAGTGCAGTGGTGCCATTAGCTCACTGCAGCCTCGACCTCCCAGACTCAAGCAATCCTTCCACCTCAGCTTCCTGAGTAGCTGGGACCACAGGTGCACACCACCACACCTAACTAATTTTATTTTTTATTTTTATTTTTGTAGAGATGGGGGTCTCACTGTGTTGCCCAGGCTGGTCTGGAGCTCCTGAGCTCAAGCGATCCTCCCACCTTGGCCTCCCAAAGTGCTGGGATTACAGGTATGAATCACCATGCCTGGCCCCAATTGCAAGATTTTATTAAAATTTTTATATGTCAAAATTTTAGAGGTTAAAAGACCCTCTTGAGGAAGCTAAACAAAGTGCAGAGAGGTACAAAGCTGAACTCCATCCACTCAGAAAGAAAGCACTGCCCGGCAGAAGATGCTGGAGTAGTTACAACAGGAAGCTCCATGCCAGCAGGAGCAGCCTCTGCGTGAGAACTCCCTGGAGCGTCTATTCCAGAAGCTCTGCCTTACAGAGGGGATGATGTAAAGTTGTGAGCAGTTTCAGCTGTAGGCAGCAGAAACTTGGCCCAGCAACAGAGAGAGAAGATAAAATGTCAGAGGAGAGAGAGGACAGATGTCACCCAGACAAATTCTTTCTTAATAAGGGTTGAAAAAGGAGGCGGCTAGTTCCCATGCAGTGTGAGCCATGGGAGGTGGGCAGAATCACAGCACACTGCACAAGGCAGAGGCAAGACATGAGAATGAATGCAAGCCCTTGCTGGGAGCCTCCGTGACCCCGTCAGCCGCAGGCCGGGGCTCTGCCACAGAGGCAAACTGCACATGGACGTGTGATGTCTGCATGGGCTGCACGGACCCTCACACGCCCACTCCATGGCTCCATCACAGCCTCTGCAAAGACCTCCTCTTGCTCTGCCTTCTCTTATTAGTTTCCTGGGCTGCGATAACAACTTAGTGACTTAAAAGAACAGACTAGTTTTCTGTCACAGTCTGGAGTCCGGAAGTCTGAAGTTAAGGTGTCAGCAGGGCTGCACTTTCTCCAGAGCCTCTAGGGCAGAACCCATGCCTTGACCCTTGGAACCTATGGTGGCTGCTGCTGTTCCTGGGCTTGTGGCTGCCCACCCCAAAGTCTTCTCCCACCATCACGTGGCCTTCCAACTGTGTGTGTCTAATCTCCCACTGCCTCTCTCAGGATGGCATTCAAGGCCCACCCAGATAATCCAGGATGACCCTCACCTGATGATCCTTAAATCACACCTGCAAAGACCCTTTTTCCAAATAAGGTTACAGTCACAGATTCCAGGAAGAGAACATGGACACACTTTGTCGGGGGGGGGCATTTTTCAGCCCACTACACCTCTCAATCTTTCTCCTTTTGTGCCCCTGATCACCAACCCAGCCATCAGCCACTGCCCATCAGTTTCATGTATACTCTAACCTCAGTCCACTTCTTTCCACACAGTGAATGACCAGTGTTCTGTCAGAATTTCTGCCATTAAGAGGACTTTCCCCACCACTGTGCTTCAGGGCCGTCCCATGGCGGGCTGTGCAGCAGCATTTGGAACTTACACCCACCTGTCAAGCCATGACCCAAGTTTGGCCCCTTTACTCCCACCCCAGTTCTAAGCTGAGTGAGAGAGGGACCCAATGCAACCTTAGCAGACAACATGAGGCCTGGGCCACCTGCTTGTGCAACTCCTGGGTGCCATGTGGCCCTGCTCTGGCCCAGAATGGGATGTGCCATCACCATCGTACTGTGAGTGGCTGTTGGGCCCACCATTGACTGTATAACTTGGGTTCTGGCTGAACCCAGCTCAGGGTGGGCAGTTCTGGCTGCAGAGTCACTTGATGTCTCTTGCTTGGTGCTCTGTTTCCATCAGGGCCCAGTAGCATGCTGGGTGCTTTTCTGGTTTGGTTCGGTTTTTTGGGTGATATGTAATTCTCAGTTACAGATGGTGTGGTCTTAATCCAGAACCCTAAGTGTCTGTATTTGCGATTCTCCCATGGGAACCTACCATAAACTCCAAATTCCCCCTTTTCTCTCATAGATACCTCAAATACAGTAAGGTCTGCTGGATCTTATGATGCAAGGAGCAGGCTGGCTGACTCACCTCCTGAACTTAACCCGGTGAAACCCTGTCTCCACTAAAAGCAATTAGCCAGGGCTACAGAGCCCTCTCCAGTTCTGGGCCCAAAGCCCAGCTCAATCTGGAGCAGCATGCCCCTACATGGGGTTTGCTACCTTTAAACCCAAGGGAGCCTACTAAGCACTGTGCTTTATTCTTATTGGTGGGATATATGAGATGTAATGATTTATCTTTCACTTTGGAGGGAATGTCCCAGAACCCTGGATCCTTGAAGTTTCCACTAATGTGTTTAGCAGGTTGGAAGATACAAGGTCAATATATAAAAATCAATTAGGTATACAAAAATTAACTCAAAGTGCATTCAGAGGCCAAGCAGGGAGAATTGCTTGAGACCAGGAGATCTAGACCAGCTTGGGCAACATAGTGAGATCTCATCTCTACAAAAAGTTTTAAAGTTAGCCATTAGTAGTGGCTTCTCCCACCTCAACCTCCTGAATAACCTGTAGTTCTAGCTACTTGAGAGGTTGAGGCAAGAAAATCCCTAGAGCCCAAGAGTTGAAGGTTATAGTTAGCTATGATCATGCCACTACACTCTAGCCTGGGTGACAGAGCAAGACTCTGTCCAAAAAAAAAAAGTTAATTCAAAATGGATCATAAACCTAGACACAGTTTTAGTGTTAGCTAAAACTATGAGACTTACATAGCATGGGTTAATCTCAGCTGATCCAGATTAACCACATTGTGATGGTTAATTTTAGGCGCTGACGCAACTGGATTAAGAAATACTGGCCAGGCTCGGTGGCTCATGCCTGTAATCCCCCAGCACTTTGGGAGGCCAACGCAGGCACATGGTGAGGTAAGGAGATGGAGACCATCCCGGCTAACCCGGTGAAACACTGTCTCTACTAAAAACACAATTAGCCAGGAGTGGTGGCACATGCCTGTAGTCTCAGCTACTCGGGAGGCTAAAACAGGAGAATTCCTTGAACCCAGGAGGCAGAGGTTGCAGTGAGCCAAGATTGCACCATTGCACTCCAGCATGAGCAACAGAGTGAGACTCCATCTCAAAAAAAAAAGAGAGGGCCGGGCGCGGTGGCTCAAGCTTGTAATCCCAGCACTTTGGGAGGCTGAGGTGGGTGGATCACAAGGTCAAGAGATCGAGACCATCCTGGGCAACATGGTGAAACCCCATCTCTACTAAAAATGCAAAAAATCAGCTGGGCCTGGTGGCGCGTGCCTGTAATCCCAGCTACTCAGGAGGCTGAGGCAGGAGAATTGCCTGAACCCAGGAGACGTAGGTTGTGGTTAGTTGAGATCGCGCCACTGCACTCCAGCCTGAGTAACAAGAGTGAAACTCCATCTCAAAAAAAAAAAAAACAAAAAAAACCCAGCAACCACACTCTTAGACATTTATCACAGAGAAATGAAAACAGTGTTCACACCAACACCTGGTTACAAATGTCCACATCAGCATTATTCACGATTGCCAAAAAAGTGGAAAAACACAAATACTCTTCAATAGGTGAATGGTTAAAGAAACTTTGGTACCCCCATACCATGGAATACTACTCAGCAGTAAAAAGGAATTGACAATTGATAATTGATACATTCAGTAATTTGGATGGATCTCAAGCAAATTATGCTCAGTGAAAAAATGTGAGTTCAAAAGGCCACATACTGTATGATTCCATTTACATAACTTTTTTCTTTTAGAGACGGAGTTTTGCTCTTGTTTCCCAGGCTGGAGTGCAATGGAGCTATGTCAGTTTACTGCAACCTCCACATCCCGGGTTCAAGCAATTCTTCTGCTTCAGCCTCCCAGGTAGCTGGGATTACAGATATGAGCCACCGTGCCCGGCTAATTTTGTATCCTTAGTAGAGACAGGGTTTTTCCATTGTTGGTCATGCTGGTCTCGAACTCCCGACCTCAAGAAATCCACTTGCCTTGGCCTCCCAACATGCTAGGATTACAGGCCTGAGCCACCGTGCCTGGCAACATTCTTTTGTTGATGGACATTTGAGTTGTTTCCAGTTTCTATTACCAATAAAATGTCTATACATATTACTTTACAAGTCTTCTGTAGATATATGTTTTCATGAAACCTGGGTAAACCTACAAGTGAAGTGACTATGTCATATGGCTGGTTTAACTTTTTTCTTTTTAGAAACAGGGTCTCTCTGGCCGGGTATGGTGGCTCGTGTCTGTAATCCCAGCACTTTGGGAGGCCAAGGAAGGCAGATCACCTGAGGTCAGGAGTTTGAGACCAGCCTGGCCAACATGGTGAAACTCTGTCTCTACTAAAATACAAAAATCAGCTGGGCATGGTGTAATCCCAGCTACTTGGGAGGCTGAGGCAGGAAAATCGTTTGAACCCGGGAGGCTGAGGTTGCAGTGAGTGGAGATCGTGCCATTGCACTCCAGCCTGGATAACAGAGCTAGCTCAGTCTCCAAAAAAAAGAAGAAGCAGGGTCTCACCATGTTGCCCAGGCTGGTCTCTAACTCCTGGACTCAAGCCATCCACTGGCCTCCACCTCCCAAAGTATTAGGATTACAGGTGTGGGCCACTGCCCTTGGCTGTGCGTTTAGCTTTGGCTTTATAAGAACCTGCCAAACTGTCTTCAGAGTGTTTGCACCATTTCACATTCCCACCAGCAGGGCATGAATGTCCCCGTTTCTTCACACCCTCACTACCACTTGGCATGGTAAGTCTCTGGTTATAGCCATCCTAGTGGGTGTCGTGGTGTCTCTCCATGGTTTCAATGAGTGTTTCCCTAATGACTAATGATGTTGAGCATCTTTTCCTGTGCAATTTGCCATCAGTTTAGCTTCTTTGCTGAGGTGATTATCCAAATCTTTTACCCATTCTTTTTAAAAAACAGAAACAAAAATACTACAGCACAAGTGGCTGTTCACAGCCTTCCCCTTCCCTGTGTCCTGAGGATGTGAGAGTGTTTGCTGCTTCTTATGGGCCCCTTGCTGTGGGAGTGGGCAGAGATGGGAAGAGCCCAGGCTGATCCGCATTAGAACAGACCCGGGAGTGCTTGTGGGAAATCCAAGAGTCCTGTTGGAGGGGATAGGAGGGGAGAGGAAGAGAGGGCTGGAAGCTTAGGGGGAGGGGGCAGATGGGGAGAGAAGAGGAGATACTGGAGGATCTGCTGCTTCATGGCTCAGCTTTGGTCGGCGGTGAGAAGGATGATGTCAGGCTTTGCATGATGAGTTGGGAGCCTCCTCTCCAGAGTCCTCCCGAGAAAATCTGAAGCAAGCTCTCCATGGCTGCTCAGGGATTTGGACCTGCATTACTTTAGGTATGCATTTTTAGGCTATGTCACTCCACTGAGTGATGTGGAGAAGGGTGAGGGTGTTATCTGGGTGTCACTGAGCAGTTTTTTGTTTTGTTTTGTTTTTTAAAGAGAGAAAGAAAGAGAAAAAAAGGAATGAAGAAGAGGAAAAAGGAGGAAGAGGAGGAGGGAGAGAGAACAAGAGTGTTGCTTAATTGCCCAGGCTAGAATGCAGTCTAAAAATGGGTATTGAAAACCTCCCTTATACCATCAATTGTGCTTAATAATGGCCAACCAATATTTCATTTAAACCTGTGAGTAGGTGTGATGCGGTACTGATAAGAGTGTATGTCTTGTGTGTTTAAAGTGGAGAGTTCTATAAATTTTTATTAAGTTTACCTGTTCTGGATCTGAGTTCAAGTCCAGGATATCCTTATTAATTTTCTGTCTCATTGATCTATCTAATATTGATGTTGAAATCTCCCACTACTACTGTGTGGGAGTCCAAGTCTCTTTACAAGTCTTATGTATCCTGTGTTGGGTGGGTACACATCCAGGATCGTCAGCTCTTCTTATTGCGTTGATCTTTTTACCATTATGTCCTCTTTTGATCTTTGTCGCTTTAAAATCCATTCCATCAGAGGCGAGAATTGCAACCTCTTCTTTTTATTTATTTATTTATTTTTGCTCTGAGCAGTTTTTACACTGAGCAGTTGTAGCTTTATTCTTGGTGCTGGATTTTGTGGACCACTGCCTGGGATAGCAACTGAAGAGCAGCAGTGGAGAGGTGTGGGTGGAGAAGCATTTTAAAAATAATGTATGTTAAGAATTTTTAAATTTGGGCTGGGTACAGTGGCTCATGCCTGTAATCCCAGCACTTTGGGAGGCCAAGGCAGGTGGATCACTTGAGGTCAGGAGTTCAAGACCAACTGGCCAACATGATGAAACCCTGTCCCTACTAAAAATACAAAAATTAGCCGGGCATGGTGGTGCTGCCTGTAATCCCAGCTACACAGGAAACTGAGACAGGAGAACCGCTTGAACCTGGAAGGTGAAGGCTGCAGTGAGCTGAGATCAGGCTATTGCACTTCAACCTGGGCAACAAAGCGAGATTCTGTCTCAAAAAAATAAGTTTAAATTTTGAAGTGATTATAGATGCACAGGAAGTTGCAAAAAAAGTTCAAGGAAGTTTTGTGTACCCAGTTTCCCCCAATGATAACATCTTTCCTAACTATGGTTTAGTATCAAAGCCAGGACGTTGATGTTGGTACAGTCCTTAGAGCTGGTTTGTACTTCATCGGTGTTACATGCACTCTCTTGTGTGTGTTGTATGTATGCGTGTGAATAGTTCAGTGCAATTTTGTCACATGTGGAGGTTCATGTAACCAGCACCACAGTCAAGATACAGAACAATTACCACCGTGGAAGTCCCTCATGCTACCCCTTTACCTATGTCCACCCCCTCCTTCTCTGCCCCTAAACCCTGATAACTGCTAAACTGATTTCCATCTGCCTATTTCGTCATTTCAAAAATGTTGTATAGGCCAGGCATGGTGGCTCACTCCTGTAATCCCAGCACTTTGGGAGGCCGAGATGGGCAGATCATGAGGTCAGAAGATAGAGACCATCCTGGAAAACTTGGTGAAATCCTGTCTCTACTAAAAATACAAAAATTAGCTGGATGTGGTGGCTCATGCCTGTAGTCCCAGCTACTCAGGAGGCTGAGGCAGGAGAATCACTTGAACCCAGGAAGTGGAGTTTGCAGTGAGCTGAGATCATGCCACTGCACTCCAGTATGGTAACAGAGCTTGACTTCATCTCAAAGAAAAAAGAAAGTTATATCAATGAAATCATATAGTATGTGGCCTTTTGAACTGGCTTTTTTCTCACTGAGCATAATTTGCTTGAGATCCATCCAAGTTGTTGAAAGTATTGATTATCAATTGTCAGTTCTTTTTTATTGCTAAGTAATACTCCATGGTATGGGGATACCAAAGTTTCTTTCCTGTCAATTATACCTCTATTAAGTTATAACAATAAAAGCCTTCACTAATGAAGCTGATTCTTCACAGTATTTTTCTCTATGCCCCCGAGGCACAAATGTCTTACCAAGGCTTCCCACCCACCTTCCATGCTTCTTGATCATCTGCTCCAATTAACTGATGTCACTGATGCTGTCACTATAGTGTGTGATAGCTGTGGGGTGCCCTGACGGCCAGGTACAATGGCTCTATATTTTGGCAGAGGGAGAATTAACATCATCATGGGGTAACACTTTAAATGTAAACTGCTGTCCATCTCAAATGAATGTCAAGTCTTTCTGGCCTTCCCTCCTGAAAGGAATGGTAAATATGTTTTGCTCTAATCAACTGATGAACCATGTGCCTATGGGTGTGGTGATCGCCTTTACCACATCTGACCCAGCAGCTACAGTTGAGCCCCTGCCTGGCTGAGCTGTGGTCATAAATGGCCACTCTCCAAGCTCTGGCTGGGTTTTTGCAGGGGCCAATAAGATAGTAATCACCAGCCAGGAGCCGTGGCTCACGCCTGTAATCCCAGCACTTTGGGAGGCTGAGGTGGATGAATCACGAGGTCAAGAGATAGAGACCATCCTGGTCAACATGGTGAAACCCCGTCTCTACTAAAAATGCAAAAAATCAGCTGGGCATGGTGGCGCATGCCTGTAATCCCAGCTACTCAGGAGGCTGAGGCAGGAGAATTGCCTGAACCCAGGAGGCGGAGGTTGTGGTGAGCCAAGATCCGGCCATTGCACTCCAGCCTGGGTAACAAGAGCGAAACTCCGTCTCAAAAAAAAAAAAAACCTAGTAATCACCAACCTGCATCTTTTAGACCTTTTACAGTAGCACTAAACTCCATCTCTGTAGGGATGAAATTTTTTTTCTTATTATCTTAGCCAGGTGATTTGAGGGTGGATTTCAGTGGCTTCCACGTGGACTTCCTCCATTATGATCGCTCTTAATCCAGCTAAGAAGCTGGGTGCGGTGGCTCACGCCTGTAATCCCAGCACTTTGGGATGTGAAGGTGGGTGGATCACCTGAGGTCAGGAGTTCGAGACTAGCCGGGCCAACATGGTGAAACCCTATCTCTACCAAAAATACACCAAATTAGCCAGGTGTTGTGGTGGGTGCCTGTAATTCCACTTACTCAGGAGGCTGAGGCAGGAAACTGGCTTAAACACAGGAGGCAGAGGTTGCAGTAGGCCAAGATTGTGCTATTGCACTCCAGCCTGGGCAACAAGAGCAAAACTCTGTCTCGGAAAAAAAGAAATCAATGCGGGTGTTCTCAAAATACCAGATATGTCTATTCAATCACACATATTGGGAAAGGGACCTCTGGGTAGATTCCTGAATGCAGTGGATCTACGGTGAGTTGGGCCTGGGTCAAAACTCTATTACCTAGCTCTCATATAGCCCCAACACTAACAGGGGACCACAGTGAAGTTTTGGGTCCCTGGGTATCAATGCCAAGACTACCAGCACTTGAAATGTCTAAATTCCTCTTTACGTAGTATGTGGCAACTCTAGTAAATTGCCATAAGTGCCTTGGGGGAAGAATTGAGGAATCATGACCACTCACTCACACTGCCGTGAAGGAGCTCTTTCTCCTGGAAACTCAGCCTCTCCTTCAGGCACTGGGGTCTCGTCTGAAGCTTTTCACTGGGGTGGCTGCCCTCAGCCCCAATCTCCCATCTTGGATTTCTTTTGGTTGTACAGATTAAGCAATGACTTTGGAGGCTGTTCTCCTTGGCCACAGGAATAACCTGCTCAAGTTGCCATCTCCACACCACAGGGAAGGTTGGATCTCCCTGGCTGCCACAGCAACGTTGGCACCTCTGCTTAGAAAGGGCCATGCTTCTTCAAAGCCTCCAGAGGCTACACAGCCAGCATGTTGGCACCACCTCCTGGGCTCTTTCGAGGATGTTATATCCTGTATCTTAGAAGAGTGTTCTCACACCAGCCTGGGCAATATAGTGAGTCCCCCACCTCTGCAAAGCATAGAAAAAGTTAACCCATCATGGTGGCACATAGTCCCAGTAACTCAGGAGGCTGAGGTGGGAGGACCACTTTGAAGTCAAGGCTGCAGTGAATCATGATTGCACCACTGCACTCCAGCCTGGCAACAGGCAAGATCCTGTCTCAAATAAATAAGTAAATAAATAAAAATAAATAAATAAACTCTACCTTATCCAAGCTTAGGTTCTTCTTCCTCCCCACCTTGTCCCGGGACCCTGAGGCCTGCCACACACACACCTCACACCTCTCTCTCTCACTCACTCTTCCCAGTCACCCTGGCCAAGTCCTGCAGCTTCTTTGGGACTCAGTCCCTGGCCTTTCTTACCAAGCCCAACACCTCCCCAGCCAAGTATTGTCTCAAATTTGGGTGTGACCAGGAGGTGGGCTGGCCCTGAGGGTGGCCATTGCCTTGCAACTCAGTGGTGGGTAGGCACCTGGGTGCTTCCCTTCAGATGACCCCATTCCAAGCTTCAGGGAGCCTCTGTCCCCACGGAGGGAGCTAAACTGACCAGGATTGAGAGTTCATCATTCTCTCTAATTACGCCCTGAGCTTGATTCTCAGCAATTATAACCCTCCAGCAGCAGGAAATAGTCTCTTTAGCTGCAGCCTGAAGGCCCTGTGACCAATGCTGTGTTGCAGTGCGGTTGGTGGTGAATCATGCTTAGCTTTTCTCTGTCTTTCTCTAACTGATGGCTTCAGGAGCACCCATCCAACTCCAAGCTTTATTGACATGCATCCCCAGGACCTCTCAGAAGACTGAGCTATGGCATCCCAGTGCATGTTTTCCCATTTTAATTCACCAACCTTGGAGGTTCTAACAATTTTGCCTACTTCAGCATGGCAGGGGCATGAACCTGTCACCCACCACCAGGGTTGGGGCTAGCGGTGATGTGAAGCCGCTCTTCCTCCTAGAATGAGGAACCTGCTTCCTCCACCCTCCCTGGAACCAAGCCCCTAGGTCAGATTCTCTGGAAAACTCAAGCTGGTCCTGTGCAGGCAAGAGCCCCATGAGAGAGTGAAGAAAACAGGATGCTGCGACAGAGACCTGGCACCATCCCTGGGAGAGCTCTGCTGGGATGGCTGGTCAGAGACATCCTGCCTTGAGGCAAGGGAGCTCTGCCCTGCCAGGCCACTGGAGGTGCCAAGATACCAAGAGGAGGAGCATGACTGTGGGCCGAAGGCAGTTTCTGCAGGGGACTCAGCTGAGAGACACCAGCAGCCATTCTTCCCACTGGCTGTGAGACCGAGTGCCTCAGTCCTGAGAAGATCTTGGCTGTGGGCACAGAGCACCAGAGGCCTCAGAAAGTCCTTCTGAGCATGACTCCTCTGTGCCTAACCCTGAGCAGCTCCAGAGCTCCACGCTAAACTGTGTACGGCTTTGGACACGCCAGCAGTTCCAAGTCCCGCGGGGCCAACCAGGCAGACAACACCTGGTGTGGAGAGAACAAAGGATGCAGCCGACAGAGCACATTGAGGGTCTGAGCTGTTGCAAGGGTAGGAGGTAGGGTGGAGCAGACAGGGAGGGGCCAGGGGGATGCTGCGGCTGGAGCTGAGGCACTGTGGACATGATGGGGGCAAGAGGAGGAGGAGGCCATGGGGGAGGTCTTCTGGTGGGGACCAGACATGGCCAGAGCAGTGCTTGAGAAAATGCCATCCAACATGATGGATGTTAGGGGGAGATGACCCTGCATTCCTTGAGCTTTGTTTGTACCAGCGGGGGCAAAAACAGCTTCAACCTCCGGGAGTGTCGGAAGAGGACACAGACACACCAAAAGGCAGAAAGGACTGTGCAAGGCCAAGTGCCAGCAAGCCGAGGTCAGAGGCAGGGCCGCATGGAGGGGACCCGCAGGGCTTCCAGGCTAATGTGCCCGGGGGATCTGCTCAAGGACTATCCAGTGGGGAGGCACTGTCCTTATCTCCAACTGTCAAGAAGGGAATGTGACTCTGGAGGAGGAGGAGACTGGCCCAAAGCCACACAGCCACTCAGCAGTGGGGTCAGGATGCGAACCCAAGTCGGAGCTAGAACCACATCCCCAACCACGAGTCCACACTGCCCACGCTGAGGTGACCAGGAGGTCAGGAACAAGGAGCAGCCTTGACGAAATGGCCCACAAGGATGCCAGGGCTGGGAACCAGACTGCTGTGAGGGGACAGAAAGGGAGCAGCATGCTGGGAACAGACACTCAGGAAGGAAATGTGTCAAGAAGGAAAGAAGAAGAATGCACGCGGCAGCCTGAGGGGCTGGCAGTGTCCAGCAAGCTTGTGGGCAGAGAGGGGCTGCTGGGCCAGAGGAGGACAACAGGCTCCGGAGGGGTGTGTGTGTGTCCAGAAAGAGCCAAAAAGATATGGAGAAAATCAAGGGGACCAGGAGCCCCCAGGAGAAATAAGACAAAACTCGGTCAAGGTGGGGCAGGGGAGGATCAGGGAGAGAGGGAAGACTCCTTTCTCCTCCGAGGTGGAAAAGATTTGAGTGAGATTTTTTTCTTGTTGTTGGGTTTTTTCTTTGTTTATTTTTTTTTCTTTTTTGAGAAGGAGTTTTACTCTTATTGCCCAGTCTGGAGTATTGTACTGAGCGATCTCGGCTCACTGCAACCTCCACCTCCTGGGTTCAAGCGATTCTCCTGCCTCGGCCTCCTGAGTAGCTGGGATTACAGGCATAAGTCACCACGCCCAGCTGATTTTGTATTTTTAGTAGAGACGGGGTTTCTCCATATTGGTCAGGCTTTTCTCAAACTCCCCACTTCAGGTGATCCACCTGCCTTGGCCTCCCAAAGTGCTGGGATTATAGGCATGAGCCACCACGCCCTGCCTGTTGTCATTTTTTTTTTTTTTTTTTGAGACAGAGTCTTGCTCTATTGCCCAGCCTGGAGTGCACAATCACAGCTCACTGCAACCTCCGCCTCCTGGGTTCAAGCGATTCTCCTGCCTCAGCCTCCTGAGTAGCTGGGATTACAGGCACCCGCCACCACACTCGGCTAATTTTTTTGTATTTTCAGTAAAGACGGGATTTCGCCATGTTGTCAGGCTGGTCTCAAACTCCTGAGCTCAGGCAATCCACCTGCTTCAGCTCCCCAATGTGCTAGGATTACAGGTGTGAGCCACAGTGCCCGGCCTATATTTGGAGTGATTTTTATAAGTGTGAGGTAGGAGGCAGTAGACAGGAGCCCTGCCATGGGAGAGGCTGGCCTGGGGTGCTGTGTGGGGCTGTGAAAATGCTATGGGTGGAATTAGGCAGGAAGGGAGTGTGGCAGAATTCCATTCTAAAACAGGATAGTCAGGGAAGGTCTCAGAGGCGGTACTAGAGGGAGTTGTGAAGGTGCTGAAATATCCAGGGTGGGAACCAGTGTCAACACCCTACAAGCAGGAGAGACTTGGTGCTCCTGGTGCCTGTTGCTGGAGCTGGAAAAGCAAGTGCAGCTGGAACAGAGTGGGCAATGGCGAGAGGAAGAGGAGGTGAGGGCAGAGAGGCAACAAAGAACTTTATACAGGGGTGTGGGAAATCTTGTGTGGACTACGGGTTGGATTCTGAGGCAAGTCTGTGCCCTCAGAAGGTTTGCGGCTGAGGAGAGACCTGGCTGGGGATGACTGAGCTGTTGCTGACTTGGCTGACAACCGAATGAGGAGAGCAAGTGTGCAGGCAGGGAGTCCAGTTGGGAGGCTACGGCGGGAACTGGCGGGAATGCAGGAAGCATGGACTGTGACTCATAGTCTAGGCCATAGTGGGGGTGTGGTTACCGTGGCCTATTTCTGGAAGTAACTTCAGCCTTGGCACGAAGGATTTGCTTGTGGATGTTGTGCTGGGTGTGAGAGACGAGGCGGTCACAAGAATCCTGGCTAGGTGAATGGGATGATTAGTTTGAAGGAGACCAGTGGCTGCAAGTTCGGCTCAAGGTGTCCAGGAGACATCCAGGTGGACATGTTGGGGGAACAAATGCATAAGGGCCTGGGGTTCAGGAGAGAGGCCCAGGACAGGAGAGGCATTTGGGAACCATGTGCCTTCAGGAAGAAGGGATGAGGTCACCAATGGGAGTGGATGCTTTAGAGAAAAGTTCCAACACTGACAATGCTGGGAGCATTTCAACATTGAAAGATTGGCACAGTGACGTGGAACCAGCGAGGAGACCAAGGGCTGGTCTACCAGGTAAAAGAACCATGGGACAGAGGTGCTGAAGGCCAAGAAAAAAATACTTCAGGCCAGGCACAGTGGCTCATGCCTGTAATCCCAGCACTTTGGGAGGCCGAGGGGCGCAGATCACTTGAGGTCAGGAGTTCCAGACCAGCCTGGCCAACATGGTGAAAACCCCTCTCTACTAAAAATACAAAAATTAGCCAGGCATGGTGGCTCACACCTATAATCCCAGCCACTCAGGAGGCTGAGACAGGAGAATGTCTTAAACCCAGGAGGTGGAGGTTGTAATGAGCTGAGATTGCGCCACTGCACTACACCCTGGAAAACAAACCAAGACTCCATCTAAAAAAAAAAACAAATCAAAACCAAAAAAAAAATTTTTTCAGAAAGAAGCGATCAAACATGATATGCCTGTTGGGCAGGAAAGGCAGGTGGAGTTGGAGGGGAAGGAAGTAGAGTGCCTTGGGATGAGGAGAGAAAATGGAAACAGCAGGCCGGGGCGCAATGGCTCACGCCTGTGATCCTAGCACCTTGGGAGGCTGAGGCAGGTGGATTGCCTGAACTCAGGAGTTTGAGACCAGCCTGGGCAACATGGTGAAGCCCTGTCTCTACTAAAATACAAAAAAAAAAAAAATTAGCTGGGCATAGTAGTGTGCCCCTGTAATCTCATTTACCAGTAAGCCGAGATTGTGCCATTGCACTCCAGCCTGGGCAACAAAGCGAGACTCCATCTCAACAAAAACAAAAAAAAAAGAAAGTGGAAACAGTGAAGGCAGACAATTCGGCGTGACTCTGTGTTAAGGGGCACAAAGCAGTGAGGTGGTTGTTGCAAGAGGAAGTGGGGTCAAGAGAGGGTTTTAGGAGAGAGCCCTGCTGAATGAAGGGAAAGAAGGTTGGCATATGCCTTGACAGGGATGAAGAGGCCCTGGGGCATGACAACACGCACAGGGTTAAGGCACTGCCACCTACTTCTGGCATCTAACCCTCGTTTTTTAAATCTTTTTCTTTCTTTCTTTCTTTCTTTTTTTTTTTTTTTTTTGAGGCGAAGTCTCGCTGTGTCCCGGACAGGCTGGAGTGCGGTGTGGCAGCTCACTGCAACCTCTGTCTCCCAGTTTCAAGCTATTCTCCTGCCTCAGCCTCCCCAGTAGCTGAGATTACAGGCGCAACCACCATGCAGCTCATTTTTGCATTTTTAGTAGAGACTGGGTTTCATCATGTTGGCCAGCCTGGTCTCCAACTCCTGACCTCAAGTGATCCGCCCGCCTTGGCCTCCCAAAGTACTGGGATTACAGGCGTGATCCACTGCGTCCGGCCTTTAAATCTTTTAAAAAAATGAAAAGAGAAGAGAACAAAGCCACATGTTTCCACGCGGATGGGACCGTCTCCGGGAAGAAGGCCAAAGGGAGAAGCACAGGAAGGACGTCCTGGAGTGAGGAAACAGGGGAGACCTGGAGAAGTTGGGGGTCAGGAGGGAGGGAGGCCACCCAGACGCCGGCGCGAGGGGCTCACTGTGTGATGCATGGGACGCCAGGCTGGGCGAGAGCCAAAGGCAGGAATGTGGGCAGGGGCTGCAGCGGGCGAGCAGGAGATCTCCTGATGGCTGCTCTCAGGCGAAACCTAGGCCGAGTGTGCAGCGAGTCGAGCAGGGAAGATGCCTTGGGAGAGTGGCTGGCGCAAGTCCGCAGAGGGTGTCGAGGACAGTGTGTGCCGGTTGCCATGCGCTCTGGCGCCGCGCAGGGTGGAGTCCTGGGCCAGGCCCGCGGAGTGCGGTGCGCCCAGAGTTGCGGGACGCACGCTGAGAGCCACGGAGGCCCAGGCTGTTCCGGCCCTGCCACCTCTCTCCATTCTCAGGCTAAGCTCTGGGGCCCTACCCTGTAACCCCAGTGCCTGCTGCGCGGGGCCCAGGCCGCCGGCGCCCTGCCCGGCCCTCCCCAGGGCCTGCGCACCTCACCCCGGGGTTCCATCTCCCTGGTTTCCACTAGAGACCGGGTACGTGGGGCTCTGGCAAGGCAAAGGGTGATGCTTGTTTACCATCACCATGGAGACGGCGGGGGGTGGGTCGCCAGGCATGGTGGGCGGGGGAGAGGCTGCTCTATCCCCAGCCCTCCCTTCTCCTATCCCTACCCCTTGTCTTGGGCCCACTAGGCCCGGTGAGCCCGCCTCAGGAGGAGCACACACCTGGCTCTGACCTGCAGAACCGCCAGGGGATAGAGGGAGGTTTGTGATAAATAGTTAACACAGAAAATTAACACATCTCATTCTAGTTTATTTCTGTGCTCGTGGAAATAGTGAATGATTTAGAATCCTACAACGGTGTGACAGTGTCCGCTTTCACACCCTCAGGTGGTTCTGACGCACTCTGGGTATAGGACGCTCTGGCTAGTGCCAGATGGTGCTGAGTTCATGCTTTCCAGTTGGTGGCGCTTTGTCATTTCACTCTCAAGACAGTGCTGTGGAGCGGTCGCTAAGTCTGAATCAGCAGGTGGGCACTGGTAATAATACCAGTAAGAACACCGAAGGTCTGTCCAGCTCCACCCTCTGCTACATTTTTTTTCTTTTTTTCTTTTGAGACAGGATCTGGCTCTGCTCCCCAGGCTGGAGTGCAGTGGTGGGATCTCAGTTCACTGCAACCTCCACCTTCCAGGCTCAAGCGATCCTCCCACCTCAGCCTCCCAAGTAGCTGGGACCACAGGCAGGCACTGCTGTCCAACTAATTTTTGTATTCTTTGTTGACACAGGGTTTTGCGGTGTTGCCCACGCTGGTGTCAAACTCTGGGCTCAAGCAATCCACCGTGCTTGGCCTCCTAAAGTACTGGGATTACAGGCAGGAGCCACCACGCCCAGCCTATTATTCATTTTTCCAGTTGCCATTTTCCCCCAAATATATAGAAAACAATGTGCCTCATATTTCACAAATGTTGGTATCTTCCCAGTACCATGAGCAGGGCACTGTCCGCGGTGGGCCAGACCAAGGTGGTCCAGCAGCACTGATTCTGCTGAGCCTAATGGCAGCAAGCAGAGGGCAGTTTATTGGTGTTTGGCCCTCTGTGTCTCTAACAGAAGTCCCTGCCAGTGGCAGCCTTCCGGCCCAAGGCTCTGAGCCTCTGGAAGTGGAGTTCCCTCAGCTGGCCCAGGGATACGGTGCTGTGGCCCAAGCTCTGGCTCATCAGGTCAGAAACAGAAAATCAGCCTCAGAATCTCTCATCTCTGGCCAGCATTCTCCCGGATGACTGAGTCACAATTGTCCTGTTCCTGATGAATGTGGTCATAGAACAGTGCCTGTGGGTGGTTTTCCCTCTGGAGTCTCCCCAGGACTCTTGTGACCCAAGGAGTGCAGTGTGCCTGTGAGTGCATATCACACATGTGCTATGCACAGGCCACTCGTCCTCAGCAGCACCCCGAGATCAGGCACTAGGCAGGTGTTTATCAATGTGCAGCTGCTCTGACCCGGCACCAGGATGGCTGTGGTGTGTGTGAGGCCCTGCCCCTCCCAAGAGCTCTCAGAATTGGGGTGAGGTATACAGAGGAAGCAGCCACCTGTCACAGAAGATGGAGTAGTAAAGTGAAGGGAAAGGTATGGCTGGGCATGGTGGCTCACACCTGTAATCCCAGCACTTTGGGAGGCTGAGGCAGGAAGATCACTTGAAGCCAAGAATTCAAGACCAGTCTAGGCAATATTGTGAGACACTGTCACTACAAAAAAAAAAAAAAACCATTTTTTTTACCTTAGCCAGGCCTGGTGGTGCATGCCTGTTTTGCAGCAATGGGGCAGGCTGAAGCAGGAGGATCGCTTCAGCCTAGGAGTTTGAGGCTGCAGTGAGCTGTGATCACAGCATTGCCCTCCAGCCCGGGTGACAGAGCAAGAGCCTGTCTCAAAAAAAAAAAAGGAAAAATATGGACAAACAGCTGAGGAGTTGAGATGCCAGCAATCAGGAGGCTTTCCTAAGAAGGGGAAATTAGCCCTGGGCTCTGGAGAAGACATGGAATTTCTGATGTGGGAGGGTGGGTGGGTGGACACTGCCAAAATCTCCCCTGGACTCCCCCAGCATCCCCTCTGTCCCTGCCTCCTTGCTCTTCCAGCTTTGAAGCAGGCTGGGACTTGCTTCTCTTTCTCATCCCTCTCTTTTCTTTATTCAAGAAAAGCTACTAAAACTTGGTAAGAGCAGCGGAAGTCTATGGCATTTGAACCATATCCTGCTCCCTCCCTACCCCTCTCCCAACTCCGCTTGACAGAAGATCTACTCTGGGCTGCTGCAGCCAAGAAAATAGTGCTCTGGCCAGTGCAGTGATTCATGCCTGTAATCCCAGCACTTTGGGAGGTTGAAATGGATGGATCATTTGAGGTCAGGAGTTCGAGACCAGCCTGACCAACATAGTGAAACCCTGTCTCTACAAAAAATACAAAAAAATTAGCCAGATGTGGTGGCATGTGCCTATAGTCCCACCTACCCCAGAGGCTGAGGCAGGAGAACGCCTGAACCTGTGAGATGGAAGTTGCAGTCAGCCGAGTTCACACCACTGTACTCTAGCCTAGGTGACAGCGTGAGACTCTGTCAAAAAGAGAGAGTGTGAGAGAGTGAGAAAGAAAGAAGAAACGAAGGAAGGAAGGGAGGAAGGGAGGAAGGGAGGAAGGGAAGGGAAGGGAAAGAAAATAGGGCTTCCTCTCCCCTTAGCTCCCAATCAGGGGCTACTTCAACTCCAAGGTGAAGAGGCCAAATTCTTTTTTTGTGTGGCCAAGAGGTGAGGGACTCCCTTGACACATAGGATAGAGGCTCTACTGCAGGCACAGCAGGCAAAAAATATAAGTTTCTGACAACCCTTACCCAGCTCACTGGCAGGACAGAGGTTCGATCCACAAGAAAGAAGCTGAGAAGACCAAGGCTACCACACCCACCCATCTCCTTGAGATGTGGGCCACAGATATCCAGGGGGAGCAGCACACAATTAAACAAGAAAGCTGTGGCTGGGCACTTTGGCTCACACCTGCAATTCCAGGGACTCGGGAGGCTGAGGCCAGAGGATTGCTTGAGACCAGGAGTTCCAGACTAGCCTGGGCACATACCAAGACTTCCATTTCTAAAAACAAATAAATGAATATAAATAAAAAAGGCCAGGTGCAGTGGTTCATGCCTGTAATCTCAGCACTTTGGGAGGCCGAGGCAACCTGATTACTTGAGCCCAAGAGTTTGAGACCAGCCTGGACAAACTCCAACTCTACAAAAAATAAAAAGAATTGGCCAAGCACAGTGGCTCATGCCTGTAATCCCAGCACTTCGAGAGGCTGAGATGGACAGATCATTTGAGGTTGGGAGTTCTAGACCAACCTGGCTAACATGGTGAAACCCTGTCTTCCCTAATAATACAAATATTATTTGGAGGTGGTGGCATGCGCCTGTAATACCAACTACTCAGGAGGCTAAGGCACGAGAATCACTTGAACCTGGGAGGTAGAAGTTGCAGTGAGCCTTGATTTCACCACTGCACTCCAGCCTGGGTGACCGAGTGGGACGAATCAAAAACAAACAAACAAAAAATAAGCAGGGCATGTTGGCACACGGCCGTAATCCCAGCTATTGAGGAGGCTGACGCCAGAGAATCACAAGTTCAGGAGGTGGAGGTTGCAACAAGCTGAGATTGTGCCACTGCACTCCAGCCTGGATGACAGAGTGAAACCTTATCTTAAAATAAAATAAAATAGGCTGGACATGGGGGCTCATGCTTGTAATTCCAGCACTTTAGGAGGCTGAGATGGGCAGATCACCTGAGATCTGAGTTCAAGACCAGCCTGACCAGCCATGCATGATAGCGCACGCTTGTAATCCCAAAACTTTGTGAGGCCAAGGCAGATGGATCACTTAAGGTCAGGAGTTCGAGACCGGCCTGACCAATATGGTGAAACCCTGTCTCTACTAAAAAAATACAAAATTGGTCAGGCGCGGCGGCTCAAGCCTGTAATCCCAGCACTTTGGGAGGCCAAGGTGGAGGCCTCGTGGGTGGATCACAAGGTCAAGAGATCGAGACCATCCTGGTCAACATGGTGAAATCCTGTCTCTACTAAAAATACAAAAAATTAGCTGGGCATGGTGGCACATGCCTGTAATCCCAGCTACTCAGGAGGCTGAAGCAGGAGAATTGCCTGAACCCAGGAGGCAGAGGTTGTGGTGAGCCGAGATCGCACCATTGCACTCCAGCCTGGGTAACAAGAGCAAAACTCCGTCTCAAAAAAAAAAAAAATTAGCCAGGTGTGGTGATGCATGCTGTAATCCCAGCTACTCGGGAGGCTGAGGCAGGAGAACTTCTTGAACCCCGGAGGTGGAGGTTGCAGTGAGCTGAGATCGTGCCACTGTACTCCAGCCTGGGCAACAAGAGCAAAACTCTGTCTCAGGAAAAAGTAAATAAATAAATAAAAATTAAAAAGATCAGCCTGACCAATATGAAGAAACCCTGTCTCTACTAAACATACAAAATTAGCCAGGCACAGTGGTGTGCACCTATTATAGTACCAGCTACTCAGGAGGCTGAGACCGGAGAATTGCTTGAACCTGGGAGGCGGAGGTTGCAGTGAGCTGATATTGCACCACTGCACTCCAGCCTGGGTGACAGAGTGACGCTCTCCCTCAAAAAAAAAAAAAAGGTGCCCACAGTTCTGCAGACTATCTAGGAAGCATGATGCTAGCATCTGCTTGGCTTCTGGGGAGGCCTCAGACAACCTACAAGTGTGGCAGAAAGTAAAGGAGGAGCAGGTAGGTTGTGTGGCCAGAGCAGGAGCAAGACAGAGAGAGGGAAAAGGTGTTCACTGCTACCTCTGCCTCCTGAGTTCACGCCCTTCAACAGCCTCAGTTTCCTGAGTAGCTGGGATTACAGGTGCCCGCCACCACGCCTGGCCAATTTTTGTATTTTTAGTAGATACAGGGTTTCACTATATTGGTCAGACTGGTCTCGAACTCCCGATCTTGTGATCCACCCACCTCGACCTCCCAAACTGCTAGGATTATAGGTGTGAACCACTGCGCCCAGCTGGTGCCACACACTTTTAAACTACCAGATCTCAGCCAGGCACAGTGGCTCACACCTGTAATCCCAGCATTTTGGGAGGCTGAGGTGGGCAGATCACCTGAGGTCAGGAGTTTGAGATCAGCCTAACCAATATGGTGAAAGCCCATCTCTACTAAAAGTACAAAAATTAGCTGGGCATGGTGGCAGGCGTCTATACCCCCAGCTACATGGGAGAATGATACAGGAGAACTGCTTGAACCTGGGAGGCAGAGGTTGTAGTGAGCCGAGATGTGCCACAGCCTGGGTGACAGAGAGAGACTCCCTTTCAAAAAAAAAAAAGGTTCAGCAAACCACCATGGCACATGTATACCTATGTAACAAACCTTCATGTGCTACACATGTATCTCAGAACTTAATGTATAATAATAAAGCAAAATAGGCCAGGCACAGTGGCTCACACCTCTAATCCCAGCACTTTGGGAGGCCAAGACGGGTGCATCACAAGGTCAGGAGTTCGAGACTAGTCTGGCCAGCATGGTGAAACCCCGTTTCTACTAAAAACACAAAAAATTATCTGGGCATTGTGGTGCACACCTATAATCCCAGCTACTTGGGAGGCTAGGGCAGGAGAATCGCTTGAACCTGGGAGGCGGAGGTTGCAGTGAGCTGAGATCTCGCCACCGCACTCCAGCCTGGGCAACAGACCAAGACTCCATCTCATAAATAATAATAATAATAAAACAAAATTTAAAAACCTACCAGATCTCACAATAACTCAGTCACTATCTTGATGGCAGTACCAAGGGGAATGGTGCTAAACCATTCATGAGAAATGCAACCCCACGATCTAGTCAACTCCCACCCGGCCATTCCTCCAACACAGGGGATTGCATTTCAATATGACATTTGGCTGAGGACACACATCCAAACTATATCACCCTGTCTAAATAAACAAATATAAAGTAAGCTCTGAATCTCTTCCCAAAGGAAATGACTTTGTTTGAAACAGAGTGTGTGGCCAGGAACCATGGCTCACAACTGTAATTCTGGCACTTTGGGAGGCTGGGACAGGCCGATTGCTTGAGTCCAGGAGTTTGAGACCAGCCTGGGCAACATAGCAAGACCCTGTCTCTACAAAAAATAGTTGAGTGTGATGGCATGTGTATGTAATCCCAGCTACTCTGGAGGCTGAGGTGGGAGGATTGGGTGAGCCTGGGAGGTCGAGGCTGCAGTGAACTGTTCCTACATCACTGCACTCCCTGGGTGACAGAGTGAGATCTCATCCCAAAAAAAAGCCAGGCATGGTGGCTCACAGCTGTAATCCCAGCACTTTGGGAGGCTGAAGCAGGCAGATCACTTGAGGTCAGGAGTTGGAGACCAGCCTGGCCAACATGGCGAAACCCCGTCTCTAGTGAAAAAAATACAAAAATTAGCTGGGCGTGGTACTGTATACCTGTAGTCCCAGCTACTTGGGAGGCTGAGGCAAGAGAATCACTTGAACCCTTGAACCCGGGAGTCAAAGGTTGCAGTGAGCCAAGTTTGAGCCACCACACTCTAACCTGGGCAACAGAGTGAGACTCCACCAAAAAAAAAAGTTGGGGGGAAATGGAGAAATTCAAGCTCAAGGGCACCCTTGAAACCAACAGCTCCTGGCCAGGCTAGGTGGCTTACACCTATAATCCCAGCACTTTGGGAGGCCAAGGTGGGTAGATTGCTTGCACTCAAGAGTTCAAGACCAGCCTGGGCAACAGAGCGAAACCCTGTCTTGAAAAAAAAGAAAAAAAGAAATAAAACAAAACAATAGCTCCTCTTTTTTTTTTTAATAAGAGAGTCACTCTTGTTGCCCAGGCTGGAGTACAATGGTATGATCTCAATTCACCACAACCTCCGCCTCCCAGGTTCAACTGATTGTCCCTCCTCAGCCTCCCAACTAGCTAGAATTACAGGCATGCGCCACCATGCCCGGCTAATTTTTTGTATTTTTAGTAGAGAAGCGGTTTCTCCATGTTGGTCAGGCTGGTCTTGAACTCCTCAAGTGATTTGCCCACCTTGGTGGCCTCCCAAATTGCTGAGATTACAGGCGTGAGCCACCACCAAAGTGCCCCATTTTTGTTTTTTATTTTTTTTTTATTTTTTAGATGGAGTCTCACCCTGTAGCTCAGGCTGGAGTGCAGTGGCATGATCTCAGCTCACTGCAACCTTCAACTCCCAGGTTCAAGCAATTCTCCTGCCTCAGCCTCCTATGTAGCTGGGACGATAGGCATGTGTCACCACGCCCAGCTAATTTTTTGTTTGTTTTGTTTTTGAGATGGAGTTTCGCTCTTGCTGCCCAGGCTGTAGTGTAATGGTGTGATCTCAGCTCACTGCAACCTCCACCTCCCAGGTTCAAGCGATTCTCCTGCCTCAGCCTCCTGAGTAGCTGGGATTACAGGAGCCCACCACTGCACTTGGCTAATTTTTTGTATTTTCAGTAGAGATGGGGTTTCACCATGTTGGCCAGGACGGTCTCCACCTCTTGACCTCGTGATCCGCCCTCCTCGGCCTCCCAAAATTTTGGGATTACAGGCATGAGGCACCACACCTGGCCAAGCTCCTCTTGCCCTGTATTAAGGGCAATACAGCAGACACTGTGGCTCATTCCTGTAATCCCAGCACTTTGGGAGGCCCAAGAAGGTGGATATCCTGAGGTCAGGAGTTCGAGAACAGCCTGACCAACATGGTGAAACCCCGTCTCTACTAAAAATACAAAATTAGACAGGAGTAGTGGCACATGCCTGTAATCCCAGCTACTCAGGAGGCTGAGGCAAGAGAATCACTTGAACCCGGGAGGTGGAGGTTGCAATGAGCCAAGATCATGGTGTTGCACTCCAGCCTGGGCACAAAGCAAGACCCTGTCTCAACAACAACAACAATAAAAGATAGCAATACACTAAACCAGGAGTCCCCAACCCCAAGGCCACCGACCAGTACCTGATACCCATCTGCTGCCTGTTAGGAACCGGCCTCACAGCAGGACGTGAGAACCAGGAAGGGAGACAGCTAAGAAGGGCCCACCTGCTCAAAGATGGACCTCATCAACTACCTTACCTGAATTTAATTGTATCAGAGTGCTGAGAAATTTATGCCCCAGAACACTCTCAAAAATAATACAGTAATTAGTGAAGCCTAACATATGTGTGTAATACAAAATGAGGCAGAGAGCTTAACAGAGAAATCAGAGGAAGAAATAGCCAACAAGAGCCGTACTAAAACCATGATCATCCCAGGGTGAATGTGTACATGCCCATATGCATATGTAATTATATGTAATATCTTTTTTTTTTTTTTCTAAGAGACTTGGTCTCTCTATGTTGCCCAGGCTGGAGTACAATGGCTATTCACAGGTGCGATCCCACTACTGATCGGCACGGGAGTTTTGACCTGCTCCGTTTCTGACCTGGGCCAGTTCACCATTCCTTAGGCAACCTGGTGGTCCCCCGCTCCCAGGAGGTCACCATACTGACACCAAACTTAGTGTGGACACCAAATGGGCATAGTGCACTATAGCCCAGAACTCCTGGGCTCAAGCGATCCTCCCACCTCAGCTTCCCGAGTAGCTGGGACTACAGGCACACACCATCGCGCCCAGCAATTATATGTAATATCTATATTTCTTTTTTTAATTTGTATTTATATATTTATTTTTGAGACAGAGTCTCACTCTGTCACCCAGGCTGGAGTGCAGTGGCATGATCTCAGTTCACTGCAACCTCTGCCTTCCAGGTTCAAGCAATTCTCTTGCCTCAGTTTCCCAAGTAGCTAGGACCACAGGCATGAGCCACCACATCCAGATAATTTATTTTTACTAGAGACAGGGTTTTGCCATGTTGGCCAGGCTGGTCTCGAACTCCTGACCTCAAGTGATCTGCCTACTTTGGCCTCTCAAAATGCTGGTATTACAGGTGTGAGTTATCGTGCCCAGTATTTTTTTTTTTTTTTTTTTTTTTTTAAGACACAGGGTCTCTCTCTATGACTCGGGCTGCAGTATAGTGGCCCAATCACAACTCACTGCAACCTCAAACTCCTGAGCTCAAGGGATTGCCCACCTCAATCTTCTGAAGTAGCTAGGACTACAGGTCTGCACACCATGCATGGATAATTTTTTTAGAGATGAGCACTCACTATATTGTCTCAGCTGGTCTCAAGCTGTCCTCCTGCCTTGGCCTTCCAATGCCTATTTCTTCTTATTATTATTTTTTGATTCTCGCACTGTTGCCCAGGCTGGAGTGGCACAATATTGGCTCACCACAACCTCTGCCTCCCAGGTTCAATCAATTCTCCTGCCTCAGCCTCCCAAGTAGCTGGGACTACAGGTGCATGTCACCAAACCCAACTAATTTTCGTATTTTTATAGAGATGGGGTTTTACTATGTTGGCCAGGCTGGTGTCAAACTCCTGATCTTGTGATCTGCCCGCCTCAGCCTCTCAAAGTGCTGGGATTACAGGCGTGAGCCACCACACCCAGTCTCCCAATGCCTATTTCTTTATAAGTATGTATTAATTTATCTACCTGAGGAGTGTCATAAGAGGCTCCATGTTGCAGGGGAAATAGACGCCACTATAATATAGTGAAGTCAAAAAATAAATAAACATGGGCTGGGCATGGTGGCTCACGCCTGTAATCTCAACACTTTGGGAGGCCAAGGCGCGTGGATCACCTGATGTCAGGAGTTTGAGACCAGGCTGGCCCACATGGTGAAATCCCATCTCTACTAAAAATACAAAAAATTAGCCAGGCATGGTGGCACATGCCTATAATCCCAGCTACTTGGGAGGCTGAGGCAGGAGAATTGCTTCAACCCAGGAGACAGAGATTGCAGTGATCTGAGATTGTGCCATTGCACTCCAACCTGGGCAACAGAGGGAGACTCTGTCTCAAAAATAAAAAAAAAAGAGGAAAAGAAAGAAAAAATCACGGCCAGACACCATGGCTCACTCTTACAATCCCAGTACTTTGGGAGGCTGAGGTGGGTGGATCATTTAAGGTCAGGAGTTCAAGATCAGCCTGGCCAACATAGTGAAACCCCATCTCTACTAAAAATACAAAAATTAGCTGGGTGTGGTGGTGGGCGCCTGTAGTCCCAGCTACTCAGGAAGCTGAGGCGGGAGAATTGCTTGAACCTGGGAGGTGGAGTTTGCAGTGACTGAGCCACTGAACTCCAGCCTAGGCAATGGAGTGAGACCCTGTCTGAAAAAAAAGAAAAGAAAATCCCAAAGAATCCACTAAAAAAAACTATTAGAATAAATAAATGGGCAAGGCATGGTGGCTCATGGTTGTAATCTCAACACTTTGGGAGGCTGAGGAGGGAAGACAGCAGAGGCAAGGAGTTCAGGACTGGCCTGAACAACATAATAAGACTTAGTCTCTCTACAATAAAATTTTTTTAAATTAGCCAGGCATGGTGACGTATGCCTGTAGTCATAGCTACTCGGGAAGCTGAGGCAGGTGGATCTCTGGAGGCTATGAGTTTGAGGCTGCAGTTAGCTATGATCATGGCACTGCACTCCAGCCTGGGCAACAGAGTCTCTGTCTCTGTCTCAAACAAACAAACAAAAAGAACCAATAAATGAATTCAGCAAGATTACAGGATAAAAGATCAATATTCATGGTGGCTTACACCTGTAATCCCAGCACTTTGGGAGGCCAAGGCAGGTGGATCACCTGAGGTCAGGAGTTTGAGACCAGCCTGGCCAACATGGTGAAACCCCCATCTCTAAAAAGTAACAACAACAACAACAACAACAACAAAAAACGAGAGAAAAATGAAAAAAATTTTAAGACAAAAAGATCAATATACAAATGTCACTGTATTGTTATACATCTTTAGTTAACCCAAAACTAAACAAGAAAACATTAACAGTAGCAACAAGAAGAATAAGAGTCTTGGCCAGGTGCAGTGAGTCAAGCCTATAATTCCAGCATTTTTGGAGGCCAAGGCAGGCAGATCACCTGAAGTCAGGAGACCAACTTAGCTAACACGGTGAAAACTTGTCTCTACTAAAAATATAAAAATTAGCCGGGTGTGGTGGTGGGTGCCTATAGTCCAAGCTACTCAGTAGGCTGAGGCAGGAGAATCACTTGAACCCAGGAGGCAAAGGTTGCAGTGAGCAGAGATCACACCATTGCACTCCAGACTGGGTGACAAGAGCAAAACTCCATCTCAAAAAAAGAAGAGTCTTAGGAGTACATTTAACAAAATAATCACAAAATGTCTACTCCGAAAAATACAAAACATTGTTGAAGAAATTAAAGAGCGAGAATCATAAATAAGGTTGGGTGCGGTGGCTCATACCCGTAATTCCTGCACTTTGGGAGGCCAAGGTGGGCAAATTGCTTGAGCCCAAGAGTTTGAGACCATTCTGGGCAACATGGTGAAATCTCTCTACAGAAAAATGTAACAGTTAGCCAGGTGTAGTGGTGCACGCCTATGGTACCAGCTACTCAGGAGGCTGAAGTGGGAGGATCACTTGAGCCTGGGAGGTCAAGGCTGCAGGGAGCCATGATCACACTACTGCACTCCAGCCTGGGTGACAGAATGAGACCCTGTCTCAAAATAAAAAGTTCAAGTCCAGGCGCGGTGGCTCATGCCTGTAATCCTGCCACTTTGGGAGGCCGCAGGCAGGCAGATTACCTGAGGTCAGGAGTTCAAGACCAGCCTGGCTAACATGGTGAAACCCCATCTCTACTAAAAATACAAAAATTAGCTGGGCATGGTGGCAGGTGCCTGTAATCCCAGCTACTCAGGACACTGAGGCAGGAGAATTGCTTGAACCCAGGAGGCAGAAATTGCAGTGAGCCAAGATAGCGCCATTGCACTCCAGCCTGGGTGACAGAGCAAGACTCCATCTCAAAAAATAATAGGCTGGGCATGGTGGCTCACGCCTGTAATCCCAGCACTTCGATCCGGGGGATCATGAGGTCAAGAGATCAAGACCATCCATCTGTTTGTGTCCTCTCTTATTTCGTTGAGCAGTGGTTTGTAGTTTTCCTTGAAGAGGTCCCTTACGTTCCTTGTAAGTTGTATTCCTAGGCATTTTATTCTTTTTGAGGCAATTGTGAATGGCAGTTCGTTCTTGATTTGGCTCTCTTTAAGTCTGTTATTGGTGTATAGGAATGCTTGTGATTTCTGCACATTGATTTTGTATCCTGAGACTGCTGAAGTTGCTTATCAGTTTCAGGAGTTTTTGGGCTGAGGCGATTGGGTCTTCTAGGTATACTATCATGTCGTCTGCAAATAGAGACAATTTGGCTTTCACCTTTCCTATTTGAATGCCCTTTATTTCTTTTTCTTGCCTAATTGCACTGGCTAGAACTTCCAGTACTATATTGAATAGGAGTGGTGAGAGAGGGCATCCTTGTCTAGTGCCGGATTTCAAAGGGAATGCTTCCAGTTTTTGCCCATTCAGTATGATATTGGCTGTTGGTTTGTCATAAATAGCTTTTATTACTTTGAGATACGTTCCTTCAATACCGAGTTTATTGAGGGTTTTTAGCATAAAGGGCTGTTGAATTTTGTCAAATGCCTTCTCTGCGTCAATTGAGATAATCATGTGGTTTTTGTTTTTGATTCTGTTTATGTGGTGAATTACATTTATCAACTTGCATATGTTGAACCAGCCTTGCATCCCCGGGATGAATCCTACTTGATCATGATGGATAAGTTTTTTGATGTGCTGTTGCAATCAGTTTGCCAGTATTTTATTGAAGATTTTTGCATCTATGTTCATCATGGATATTGGCCTGAAGTTTTCTTTTCTCGTTGAGTCTCTGCTGGGTTTTGGTATCAGGATGATGTTGGTCTCATAAAATGATTTGGGAAGGATTCCCTCTTTTTGGATTATTTGGAATAGTTTCAGAAGGAATGGTACCAGCTCCTCTTTGTGTGTCTGGTAGAATTCGGCTGTGAACCCATCTGGACCTGGGCTTTTTTTGTGTGGTAGGCTCTTAATTGCTGCCTTGACTTCAGACCTTGTTATTGGTCTATTCATAGTTTTGGCTTCCTCCTGGTTTAGGCTTGGGAGGACACAGGTGTCCAGGAATTTATCCATTTCTTCCAGGTTTACTAGTTTATGTGCATAGAGTAGTTTGTGATATTCTCTGATGATGGTTTGAATTTCTGTAGAATCTGTGGTGATTTCCCCTTTATCGTTTTTTATTGCATCTATTTGGTTGTTCTCTCTTTTCTTTTTTATCAGTCTGGCTAGTAGTCTGTCTATTTTGTTAATCTTTTCAAAAAACCAGCTCTTGGATTTATTGATTTTTTGAAGGGTTTTTCGTGTCTCTATCTCCTTCAGTGCTGCTGTGATCTTAGTTATTTCTTGTCTTCTGCTGGTTTTGAGTTTTTTTGATCTTGCTCCTCTAGCTCTTTCAATTTTGTTCATGGTTAGGAAGAATCAATATTGTGAAAATGGCTATACTGCCCAAAGTAATTTACAGACTCAATGCTATCCCCATCAAGCTACCATTGGCTTTCTTCACAGAACTGGAAAAAAACACCATGAACTTCATATGGAACCAAAAGAGAGCCCACATAGCCAAGTCAATTCTAAGCAAAAAAGAACACAGCGGGAGGCATCACACTACCGGACTTCAAACTATACCACAAGGCTACAGTAATCAAAACAGCATGGTACTGGTACCAAAACAGAGATATAGACCAATGGAACAGATCAGAGGCATCAGAAGCAATACAACATATCTACAACCATACAATCTTTGATAAACCTGACAAAAACAAGCAGTGGGGAAAGGATTCCCTGTTTAATAAATGGTGTTGGGAAAACTGGCTAGCCACGTGCAGAAAGCAGAAACTGGACCCCTTCCTGACACCTTACACCAAAATTAACTCCAGATGGATTAAAGACTTAAACATAAGACCTGGCACCATAAAAACCCTAGAAGAAAATCTAGGCAAAACCATTCAGGATATAGGAGTAGGCAAGGACTTCATGAACAAAACACCAAAAGCATTGGCAACAAAAGCCAAAATAGACAAAAGGGACCTAATGAAACTCCACAGCTTCTGCACGGCAAAAGAAACAGTCACTAGAGTGAATCGGCAACCAACAGAATGGGAAAAAATTTTTGCAGTTTACCCATCTGACAAAGGGCTGATATCCAGAATTTACAAAGAACTCAAACAGATTTACAGGAAAAAAACAAGCCCATTCAAAAATGGGCAAAGGATATGAACAGACACTTTACAAAAGAAGACATTCATGAGGCCAACAAACATGAAAAAATGCTCATCATCACTGGTCATTAGAGAGATGCAAATCAAAACCACATTGAGATACCATCTCACGCCGGTTAGAATGGCGATCATTAAAAAATCTGGAGACAACAGATGCTGGAGAGGATGTGGAGAAATAGGAACACTTTTACACTGTTGGTGGGAGTGTAAATTAGTTCAACCATTGTGGAAGACAGTGTGGCGATTCCTCAAGGCCTTAGAAATAGAAATTCCATTTGATCCAGCAATCCCATTACTGGGTATATATCCAAAGGACTATAAATCGTTCTACTATAAGGACACATGCACACGAATGTTCACTGCAGCACTGTTTACAATAGCAAAGACCTGGAACCAACCCAAATGCTCATCAATGATAGACTGGACTGGGAAAATGTGGCACATATACACCATGGAATATTATGCAGCAATCAAAAATGATGAGTTCGTGTCCTTTGTAGGGACATGGATGAATCTGGAGAACATCATTCTCAGCAAACTGACACAAGAACAGAAAATGAAATACATATTCTCACTCATAGGCTGGTGATGGAAAATGAAAACACATGGACACAGGGAAGGGAGTACTACACACTGGGGTCTATTGGGGGAAATAAGGGAGGGACAGCGTCGGGGGGGGCGCTGGGAAGGGATAGCCTGGGGAGAAATGCCAAATGTGGGTGAAGGGGAGGAAGGCAGCAAAACACACTGCCACGTGTGTACCTATGCAACTATCTTGCATATTCTGCACATGTACCCCAAAACCTAAAATGCAATTAAAAAAAAAAAGACCATCCTGCCTAACATGGTGAAATCCCATCTCTACTAAAAATACAAAAATTAGCTGGGTGTGGTGGTGTGTGCCTATAGTCCCAGCTACTCAGGAGGCTGAGGCAAGAGAATCGCTTGAACCCAGTGGGCAGAGGTTGCAGTGAGCCAAGATCACACCATTGCATTTCAGCCTGGGCAACAGGCTGTCTCAAAAATAATAATAATAATAAAGTTAAAAACCTAAGTGCATATATATATATATATATATATATATATATATACACACACACAAATGCATATACATATATAGTATCAGCCATGAGGTCCTGCCAGAAGATGACAGCTCCTAATGCCACTTCCCGGCACAGGAGTTCAATGCCCACCCATGCAAGGCTGAGACCCTCACAAAGAGCAGGGCAAGGTGCACACATCAGTGATACAAAGCACATAGGATATAATATATTCATACAACATGGAGGAAATTGACAGGCTCTCTATGCAAGAAATGTATTACACATCTGTCTTCCTACATGCAGAAATGTAGAGTAGTTTAGTAATCGCCATGCATAAATACATAGAATGGATAACTACAGCAGTTACATAAATACTGAAAGGATGATGAAAAATGTAGAATAGTCCTAAAATTAATTCTAAGTGGAGAAATCATATAGGTATGCAAATATACACATATATGTATCTCTGTAAATTGGTAAAGTTATGCATTTGCATATCTATAGTAGTTGGATAAATATAACATTTAAAGGGACACTATATACAGAAATACTATAAAGCATGGGGCCCAGTGGCCTGCACTGTAGTCCCAGACTTGGGAGGCCAATGTGGGAGGATTTCTTGAGCCTAGGAGTTTAAAACCAGCCTGGGTAACATAGCAAGAATTTGTTTTGAGAAAAAGGAAAAAAATACTGTATTTCTTTTGTTTTTCGTTTTTTGAGACAGAGTCTCACTCTGTCACTCAGGCTGGAGTAAAGTGGTGCAATCTCCACTCACGCCACCTCTGCCTCCCAGGTTCAAGTGATTTTCCTGCCTCAGTCTCCCAAGTAGCTGGGATTACAGGTGCTTACCACCACACCCAGCTAATTTTTGTACTTTTAGTAGAGACAGGGTTTTCCCATGTTGGTCAGGCTGATCTTGAACTCCTGACCTCAGGTGATCCACCCGCCTCAGCTTCCCAAAGTGCTGGGATTACAGGCATGAGCAACCACGCCCGGCCACACATTTCTTGATAGATGAGATACATACAGTTATTCAATAAATGTACATCCAGATACTTAATGGTTAGGAAAGCTTAGTTAAGGCACCTGGAAAACTTTGAAAGCATGCTTTTCCCACCAAAAGCTCCAGCTGGCTCAAGCCACAGGTGGTCCTGTCCAGTCCTGTATCAAGGTGCCACTGGGGAAACTGAGGGCCTGTGGAGACAGGCACCCAGAGGGCAGCACAGCCAATGAGGAGAAGAGAAGGGAAATACAGGAATGTGATGTTTTTGGTATTTGAGGTGCACTGAGCATGCTGTGTGCCAAGTAAGCCCTGCAGGGGCATTACTCATTTCATCTTCCCTACCCTGAGGTGGCTGATTCCATCATTCCCAAGTTACAGTAGAGGAAACTGAGGCCCAGCAAGGAACAGCTGCCACACCAACAACTTTATAAGCCTTTACAATGTCATGAGAATTTGTGGGCTAGTCTGGATTTTTAAAGAAAACTTCAGGTTTGAGCAAACTTGGGGACACTCAAAATCTACTCTCCCTAACCTGGGAGTGTCTGCAAAAATAAAAAATAAAAATAAAATCTCGTGAGAATTAGTCCGTATTTTTTTTTTCCACTAGTCCAGATTTTTAAAGAACACTTCAGCTTTGAGCAAACTTACAGACACCCAAAATCTGCTCCCTGTAACCTGAGAGTCTCTGCACCAGGAAGAGCAATGGGGAGGGTGGAAATGACGCGGAACTGTCCTAGACTGCCCCCTTCTGGCCAGAGGAGGTGGCCTCAGCTGTCTCCTTGAACAAAAACCACCCTCTTGGCTAGAGGCAGAGGCCAGTCGGGAAGGGCCCTGTGCGGGTGACAATTTGCACTAAATACTCGCTTTGTGCCTGGTGCGGCTGTGACCAGGGTGGGGAGTTGCTGGCCTTGGCCTAGAGAGGGGACACCAAAGGAGACATCTGAAGCCATGGAAATTTCAGAAACAAGCAAATGCAGGGTCACTGGGAAACACCCGGACATTACGAAGATGCAGAGATAAAGTTGGAAATGACCATTCAGCAGAGGGAGAGAGAGAGATGGGGCTAGGACAGGGAGAGAGACACCCAGAGAGAGACAGAGAGACTCTCCCAGACAAAGACCCACCAAGCCAGAAAGACGCGGAAGGACTGAGACACACAGAAGGCCCCCAGCTGGCCCTGCACCTGGAGACACAGTGGAAAAGGAAGCGTCTTCTCTGAATTGAGCCAAGACAGGCAGGGAGCCCTCAGCAGGAAGAGCTCTTCCCCTGCCCTTCCCATAGTGTCCAGACAGTCCTCCCACTCTAGCCCAACACCAGATTTCAGAGGTTCCCAGGAGCTCTGCATCCTAGTCCTCTGGTATTTGTTGGTACAAATGGTCTTGCTGTGGGACTCTCCCCAGGATGGGTTAGGACTCTGTGGCAGCAGGCTCAGCTTCCCGGCTTCCTAAATTCCGCTGCCATATCTCTTTACCAGTATTATTCTCCTGGTGAGCATGTTTGCCTTTTCACACAAAAAAATGGAGGTTTCCTCCCAACCAGCTCTGTCGCACTGACGCTGATCAAGAACTGTGAACTTTACTGGGCATGATGGCTCACGCCCTAATCCCAACACTGAGAGGCTGAGGCAGGGGGATCGCCTGAAGCCAAAAGTTGGAGACCAGGTTGGGCAACGAAGCAAGACCCTGTCTCTACAAAAATAAAAATAAAAGGGCCAGGTTTGGTGGCTCACGCCCGTAATCCCAGCACTTTGGGAGGCCACGGTGCGTGGATCACCAGGTCAGGAGTTCAAGACCAGCCTGGCCAAGATGGTGAAACCCTGTCTCTACTAAAAATACAAAAATTACCTAGGCATGGTGGTGGGCACCTGTAATCCCAGCTACTCGGGAGGCTGAGGCAGAGAATTGCTTGAACCTGGGAGGCGGAGGTTACACTGAGCTGAGATCACACCACTGCACTCCAGCCTAGGCCACAGAGTGAGACTCCATCTTAAAAAAAAAAGAACTGTAGCTTGGAGAGGCCAGTGACCCTTCCTGGGTTTTGATGAAGACCCCTGCCTCATTGATGAACAGAACCTGTCCCAACTTGCCTGGATAGCCCTGGGGCCTCATCTGGCCCCCACCCAGTGGCCAAGCCTTCATTAGCAGAACAAGGACTGCCTCCTCATGAATGCAGCCTCCTGGAGAAGTCCATCTGGAAGGCCTGGGGAAGGAGATATGAACTCCTCCTCAGTCAGATGACATTCTCCTGCAATCTTCCTCTTGTCTTCCCCACATCCAAGGCCACATTCAGCATTCTTCACCACTCTGCTGCCTGTGCCCAGAGGCCCAGATGCTGGAACCTGACCGCCTGGATCTAATTTTGGTCCCACCACTTACCAGCTGGCTGAGTTGGCAGGCGACTTAACCTACTGTGCCTCCATTTTCCACACATAGGATGGAATCTTGCTAGCATTAACGTCACTGAGCAGGCTGGGTGCAGGGGCTCATGCCTGTAATTCCAGCGCTTCGGGAGGCTGAGGTGGGAGGATCGCTTGAGCCAAGAAATTTGAGTCCAGCCTGGGCAACACAGTAAGACACCCCTCAAAAAAGAATCCAGCCTGCCCAACCTGTGGGTGCTGATTGCTCCAAACAATCTCTGCATTCCCCATAAAGTCCAGGCTGCCCAAACCATGACCAGGAATCCCAGAGAACAACCCCTCCAACCGGGCTGCCCAAACTGGCTGTCAATTCTCAAGAACGGCCCCTTACCCAGACTGCACCCCCCACCCACTCCATGGCTGCTAATCCTGGAAACAATCTATTTCCACTTCAGAAGCTGGCTGCGCCGCCGCCCCAGACACCTCCGCGCCCTCCCTGAAGGAGCCGCGCGCCTGCGCCTCCTAGCGGCCACTGTGCCGGGTGCTCAGCCCATCTCAACTGGCGGCCACCAGGCAGGCCGCCCCGCACGCCGCCTCTCCCTTTCCTACCGCTCAGAGGGACCCCAGCATGAACACGCGCTTGTTTTTCATCGTCTCCATCTCGGGGCTTCCTTGTAAAGTTTGGAGCTCCGTGTGAACTGCGCTCCACGCACTCGTTCCATCAGCTCCTCGGTGCCCGCACGCAGCCACGCGTGCCAGTCAGTGCCTGGATCACCGCGAATTCCGTCCCAACCCGCGCCGGCGCCGCGACGGTCTGTCCTGTCACCGGAGACGTTTATTCTGTCAGTGCAAATATATATCATTCCTTGTTTTTTTTCTATTAAAGACAGTGCTTGGTAGGAACATTCCTGCACTAATGGGGTTTCTGAAGCTTCAACCCCACGCGCCAGGCCCACCCACGCCCGGGCCCGCATTCCACGGCCCGACCCACCCACAACCAGCCAGCCACCTAGCTCAGATCCTGGCCCACGACCTGCACCCCACCACCCGCCCCACACTCAAACCCTCTCCCCAAGCCTCCCCCAGCAGCCGCCGCCACCAGCTCCCCACGGCCTGAACCTCCTCCCACTCCCGGGCTTCCCCAGGTGTCCAGGAACTTCTCTGCCCGATCCCCCAGTATCCCGGCCCCCTGCATTCCAGGCGCCCACACACCCTGGCCACCCTCCCCCACGTCCCGGCCCCACCCCAATTCTGACTTTCCCATGCCCAGGGCCTACCTCACAGCTCTCCATCACACTTTGGTCACCTCCCCAGGCCCAGACCCCTACCCGGAGCCAGGCCACCCTAGGCTCCAGGCCCCCTTCAAAACTCCCAAAGCTCCCCTCCCCACACACAACCAGGGGCCCTGTTTAGGCCCTTGCGGTTTTAATGGCAGCAATGTAGTTGACCATCCTCATTCAAAGAACGCTCAAGACGGCACTGTACTGGAGAACCTGAAAGCCCTGAAATCTTGCTGCTCCTATATGAAAAACACTTGAAAGAGGTTTCCCCAAATTTGACAATGTCCAAAACTTTCACAAGACATTAGCGATGGGGAGCATATATTCAGGGCAACTGGTGGGGGGAAACCTTAGCAATAATAAGTGAACTAGATGGAATGCACATTCTATTTACCATTATTGGTAAAAAAAAATTTTAAGAGAGGGGATCAATCACACCAGATCTGTTTATCCTCCATTCTTTCTCAAAGAAATTGTTCTCATATTCTAAATCATTATCATATGAAGCAGTGATCATGATTATGCAGTTAGGTACCAGTAAAATGTAATTACAAGGGGATTGATTTTAAAACTTAACTTTTGGAATTCTGTTATGCTATGCTTTCTAAAATTCGAAGTTGTTTTGCTTTCATCATTCTAAAATCATTCTTTTATCATTATACATACACACTTTGAGACAAACTAACTATATTCATAATTTTGTGTTCTTTTTTTCTTTGGAGATGGACTCACTCTGTAGCCCAGGTTGGAGTGAAGTGGCACCATCTCAGCTCACTGCAACCTCCAACTCCCAGATTCAAGTGATTCTTGTGCCTCAGCTTCCTGCTTATAGGTGTGCACCAGCCACAAGCCCTGTCTAATTTTTGTATTTTTAGTAGAGACAGGGTTTCATCATGTTGGCCAGGCTGGTCTTAAACTCCTGACCTCAGGTGATCCATCTGTCTACCGCCTCCCAAAGTGCTGGGATTACAGGTGTAAGCCACTGCGCCTGGCCTAATCATGTGTTCTTTTCTTAGAGACAACTTCCCCTATGGTGCCGACCTCAGCTGCCACTTTCAGATCTGCTCTCCTCCTACAGGGACAGGTGTGTCTGATCCTCTGAGGGACACACCTGGGGCATTCCTGCTCAGCACCACGTGTGCACAACTTCAGCTTTCAGAGCCAATGCTGATTGTTTTCTAAGGCAAGTGTGCCAATTTAGGACTGGAAATGAGTCCCGTGCACCCCCAGCTGCTCAAACCCAGGAGCCCAGAGGGATCCTAATCATCTGTGTCAGTGAAAAGGTGGAAAACAGCAAACTCTACCCATCCCTCAGGGCAAAACTGGTTCTCCAATTCCTCTGTGGTGAAGGCTATAAATTCAGACCCTCAGTGTGGAAAATCCCAATGTTGATCATTAGAAGTTAATATATTAATATTTTACCAGTTTATTAAGAACTTAGAGGCAAATAATAGCTCTCAAGAATTTATACACCAAACCATAAGACATTTTTATTTTACCTTATATCTTAAAAACTTGCTGCTCAATTTTTTTGACTATATGATGACATAAACTTTATTTATTTAGAGACGGAATTTTGCTCTTCTCGGCCAGAATGGAATGCAATGGCACAATCTTGGCTCACTGGAATCTCCGAACCCTGGGTTCAAGTAATTTTCCTGCCTCGGACTCCCAAGTAGCTGGGATTACAAATGCCCCCCACCATGTCCAGTTTATTTTCATATTTTAGTAGAGACGGGGTTTCACCATGTTGGCCAGGCTGGTCTCCTGACCACAGGTGATCTGCCCACCTAAGCCTCCCAAAGTGCTGGGACTACAGGCATGAGCTACCTCACCTCCCTCCCCCTCTGCTCAATTTTTTAAAATGTAATTGGATTTTTTCCCCATTGTTTACTAAATTTCTCGACTTCTTCAATAGTTCCTTCTGGTTTGGTAAACATTGCTCTGAGGCACATGTCCTTCCCTTTTCTAGTCTGATCAGAGGAGAGTACATCCTTTGTTTACTGCGGAGGCTGAATAACAAATGGTTGGGTTTTTATATTAGCTGCTGTTGTGGAGACAACAAAGATGTTGTGGAGCTCTGATCACATTTGAATCTAGATTTCAGGTAGCCACAAATTCAATGAATTATTTAACTTATTTAACAGACAAGCTTCTATAAACTACTGACATTCATGGTCACATTTTATGCCAACAAACACAGAACTAAGACCTTTCCAAATCATAGTGCCGTGGGTTTCTGGAGCCACAAAACACATCGTTTTACAGTCTTTCAATTTTAACATTCAGTGCCAGTAAAAACATTCTTGCATTCTATTCCTACCAAGTAAATAAGTGATTACCCTTATCAGATACTTAATCTCATTATAACTAACTTACTTTTATAAAGATTTAGATAAAGGAGTTCAATAGAGAGACTTTTTTTGGATAGAGCCACTGGCTGAAGAAACCCTTTTCATAAATTATGCCTTAATCTAAAATCTGGTTAAAGTATTTGACTTTGTTGGCTCAGTTTAACTGGAGGAAATGGCAAAGAGAACTTTATGACTGTGGCTTACAAATATTTAAAACCTGTTTTAGCCGGGCACAGTGGCTCACACCTGTAATCCCAGGCCAAGGCGGGTGGATCACGGGGTCAAGAGATAGAGACCATCCTGGTCAACATTGTGAAACCCCGTCTCTACTAAAAATACAAAAAATTAGCTGGGCGTGGTGGTGCGTGCCTGAAATCCCAGCTACTCAGGAGGCAGAGGCAGAATTGTCTGAACCCAGGAGGCAGAGGTTGCGGTGAGCCGAGATGGCGCCATTGCACTCCAGCCTGGGTAACAAGAGCGAAACTCCGTCTCAAAAAAAAACAAAACCTGTTTTAGCCAGGCACAGTAGCTCATGCCTGTAATCCCAGCACTTTGGGAAGCCGAGACTGGCGGATCACCTAGTCCAACATGGAGAAACCCCATCTCCACTAAAAATATAAAACTAGCTGGGCCTGGTGGCACAGGCCTGTAATCCCAGCTACTCAGGAGGCTGAGGCAGAAGAATCATTGTAACCCAGCAAGCGAGAAATCATTGCTAAAACAAAGACTAGGCCAAATTACAGGGTCCGTATTGCTAGAGGCCACGGAGGACTTGAGTCTCTCTAACCCCTGGTGGCACCGAAAGGAGGGTGTCAAGACCTTTTATGCCTGTAAACCACCTCCTGGGGGCGGGGGGGGGGGGCGAGGGGCTTTGGACATTCCGAGGGCCAGGAGACTTTGGACATTCCATAAACCACCTCCTGGGCAAGGGTGAGGCTGAGGGGCTTTGGCCATTCTATCCGAGGGCCAGGGGACTTTGAACATTTCAATTGTTACTTAAGTGGTTCAGAGAAGTCAAGATAAGCGTTAGTTCACACATTGTCTGGGTAGGGTGGAAATTACAGACCTTATGGGTAGTTTCTTACAGACCTTAGTTACTTATTACAAGTCTTAAAATGGCACAGGGGCCAAAATGGCATTGGTTTGGACTGCTTGCCTGTCACATCAGGGTTACAGAGAGCAGTTTCAATGGAAAGCTGAGGTATGGTCGAGGTACGCAGTTTATGGGGCAATTACCATGTCACAGTTGGCTCAGTTTAACTGGAGGAAATGGCAGAGAACTTTATGACTGTGGCTTACAAATATTTAAAACTTGTTTTAGCCGGGTGTGGGGGCTCCTGCCTATAATCCCAGCACTTTGGGAGGCTGACACTGGCGGACCACCTAAGGTCAAGACAAGTCTGACCAACATGGAGAAACCCCACCTCCACTAAAAACACAAAATCAGCTGGGAATGGTGGCACAGGCCTGTAATCCCAGCTACTCAGGAGGCTGAGACAGGAGAATCACTTGAACCTAGGAGGTGGAGGTTGAGGTGAGCCGAGATTGCTCCATTGCAGCAAGAGTGAAACTCCATCTCAAAAAGAAAAAAAACCCACCAGAACAAGGATCTGAGAAAAAAAAAGAAAACAAAACCTGTTTCACTGACTGACTGACCTCTGAGAAAGCTGTCTCTGCCCCAGCAGTCTGCCTTGAAGCCTACTTTATGAATTTTCACTACACCTGTCAGTCAACATTGGGAAGATAACACCAACTATTTCTTCCTCCCACTAGCAACCTAGCATGACGTCGGCCATTGGAGGCAGCTCTGGGCTGCCCCTTTGCAGCCACTGGAACTGTGCTGCCGGGAGCAGCCCCGGAACTGCAGTGAGATGTGTGTATTGAGTCAATCCATAAATACCAAGTAATTCTATAAATAAAAATTATAGGCGGGTGTGGTGGCTCACGCCTGTAAATCAAGCACTTTGGAGGCCAAGGCGGGCGGATCACCTGAGGTCAGGAGTGACTAACATGATGAAACCCCGTCTTTAAAAAAATAAATAAATAAAAATTATAGGAGGCCCCTGTTTTGGACTAAGCTTCTGCACTAGGCCCCAATAGATTAGCTTAGTCCAAAACAAGGGACAAGGGTCTCCTATAATTTTTTTTGAGACCAGGTTTCACTCTTGTTGCCCAGGCTGGAGTGCAATGGCGCTATCTCAGCTCA